GCTGCCGCCGCCGCTCGCCGGGCAGGCCGCGCCGCGAGGAGGTGCTGCGCGGCATCGGGGCGGGACAGCAGGGCCGTGGCGTGGAGTTTTGCCTCTGCCTTGAGCTTGTCGGCTGTGTGATACGAGGGGGCAATGTTAGGTTAGCTGTGGGGTTTTAGGGAGGGGAAGGGGGCTGTGGATGGTCTTCCCGGCGCGCACCTTGTTTTTTCAGCCTTTGGATCTCGGCGTCCAGTGTTGACGACGGCATTGTGACGGCCGCGCGGACATGTCCATTGCTTGGGGAGACGGGCATTCAACGGCCGTCCGGCCAAGATGCGCTGTGGAGGTCTCGATACGCTTGGTGTTCTTCGGGTTATGCCGTAGCGAGGGGTGTATATCGCGACGCGTAAATGAAGATGACAGTGCAGGCGAGGCGTCTTCACGTGATGCACCCCGGGGCGACTAAGCCTTCCAAGACGGCCAGGCGGCAGCCCCGCAAGCCCCGCTGTACGATAACGGGCTAGGGGCGCGCGCTTCTCCGCAAATTGCTGGAATTCTCCACGTGTCTGCTGCCTAGGTCTGCAGTGAGAATTACTCAGCCTTCGCGAGTCGGCGGCGGCAGTATTGAAGGTTTCGGATGGGGACGAAAAAAGGGAGTTGGCTTCGTCCTCATTTTCCCCGTGTGAATCGACGTGAGATTGATTCCATGGCGTCAAGTTTTACAGTTCTGATCCTAGGGCCTTGTTAGACCCGACCGTTTCGCTCATTGCCGTTTGGCTGCTGTTTTTTTTGTGTCCTTCCCTTCGTCGTATAGAATTCTTGCCACCACCGTCGGCTCAACCAAAGGCCACGGTTACCTCCGTTTTCCAGCGCTCGACCTGGCAAGTTCGGGAGGGGACATCCGCGGAACGTGCGCGCCATCCAGGCACCCGTCCCGTAGCCTCCGTTTTGGTCCAACATCCAGCTGTCCTGTCGAATTACTTCGCGCCGCGTCCAACAAGCCCTCGCCCATCTCAACCTTCTTCCCATGTGCAACATAGTCACCAGAATAGACATAGGCCTCTGAGACCGAGTATTATTACCACCTGTGTACAACTACCAACTTCAACCGCAACAGCGCACCGCATATCACCAGCTGTTATAGCGCCCCGTCCTCGACACCGACCCCACCCTCTTGGACGACGAGCCGCCGACCCCTCTCCGTTCCCCGAGATCGTTTGCGCACAGGACCCATGAGTACCCGGTCAAGAAGAAACAAGTCTCCGAAGCTCGGCTTAGTGACCAGCGCGGAACCAGCCAGCAACGGCAGCGCGTCGGGCAGCATCAAGACAAACGGCGGCGCCATGAACGCCGGCGTCGAGTACCGGCGCAAGGGGCCGGCGCAGGACTCGGACGTGGTGACGGCCAACCTCATGGCGCGCGAGGACTTCTCGCTCGACGAGCCCGTCCCCAAGACTCCCATGCTCAACAACCACGGCTTCCTGGAGCTGCCGCTGCACGACCAGCGCAACTTCGGCCTGCTGGTGCTGCTCTACTTCCTGCAGGGCGTGCCCATGGGCCTGGCCACGGGCTCGGTCCCCTTCCTGCTCAAGGACCACATGTCGTACAGCCAGATCGGCATCTTCAGCCTGGCGTCGTACCCCTACTCGCTCAAGCTCTTCTGGAGCCCCATCGTCGACGCCGTGTGGAGCCCCCGGCTCGGCCGCCGCAAGAGCTGGATCCTGCCCATCCAGGTGCTCTCGGGCATCGGCATGCTCTGGCTGGGCTCCACGGTCGAGGACATGATGGCCCGCACGGGGCAGCCGGGCGGCCCCACGGTCTGGGGCTTCACGGGCTGGTGGTTCTTCCTCGTGCTCATGTGCGCCACCCAGGACATCGCCGTCGACGGCTGGGCCCTGACCCTGCTCACGCCGGGCAACATCTCGTACGCGTCCACGGCGCAGACGGTCGGGCTCACGGCGGGCCAGTTCCTGTCCTATACCGTCTTCCTGGCCTTCAACTCCAAGGACTTTGCCAACAAGTGGTTCCGCACCGAGCCGCTCGAGCACGGCCTCCTCAGCCTGGGCGGCTACCTGACCTTCTGGGGCTGGGCCTTCATCGTGGTGACGGTGGGGCTGGCGCTGCTCAAGCGTGAGGAGCGCACGCGCAACGAGGACGGCGTCTGGGACGTCTACCGCATCATGTGGGGCGTGCTCAAGCTGCGCCACGTCCAGACCATCATCGCCGTCCACCTGATCGCCAAGATTGGCTTCCAGGCCAACGATGCCGTCACCAACCTCAAGCTGCTCGACAAGGGTTTCGGCACCGACAACATGGCGCTGACCGTCCTCATCGACTTCCCCTTCGAGATCGGCCTGGGCTACTACGCCGGCAAGTGGTCCCAAGAGTACACGCCCATGCGGCTGTGGTGCTGGGCCTTTGTGGGCCGCCTGATGGCTGCCATTGGTGCCCAGTTTACCGTCTTCATCTTCCCCGCGGGCGGCGTGACGCCTTGGTACATGCTGCTTGTCATTGCCGAGCACATATTCTCGACTTTTACAAACACGGTCATGTTTGTTGCCGTCTCGGCCTTCCACGCCAAGATTGCGGACCCCGTGATTGGGGGCACCTACATGACACTGCTTGCGACGTGAGTTATGCTCCTCTGCGAACCTTTTTGCCTTGGAAAACGTGTGCCATGCTGACATTTCTCTCAAGTGTATGCAATCTTGGCGGGACGTTCCCGCGCTACTTTGTGCTCCGGCTCGTCGACGCCTTCACGGCGGCGACGTGTTACCCGGCGGCCAAGCTGACGGAGCTGGACACGAGCAAGCTCAAGGGCCCGCTGGTGACGCAGCCCTTCAGCTGCGCCGTCCAGGCCGAGAAGGAGCGGTGCCTGGCGGGCGGCGGCACGTGCGAGATGGTGCGCGACGGTTACAACATCGTCAACATCATCTGCGTGGCCGTCGGCATCATCACCTTTGTGACCTTTATCCGGCCGAGGATGTTGCATCTGCAGAGCCTGCCGTTGAGGGCGTGGAGGCTGGCCACCAACGGCAACGGCAAGTGAGTCGGCCTTGTTGTTTTTTTTTTTGTTTTTTTTTTGGGCGGCAGGTGCTATCTGTTCGTTTAGAAACCCTGTACCTGATCCTCTGGCTGTAGATCTAGACAACTTTTTTGATCTCGTAATACGAAACAGCTGCGTTGAAGATGGTATGGAGTGTGCCTGCCAGAAGTCGGCGCCAAAGACATAGCCAAACGCTAGTCAAGCCACGAGGCGGACAAGGCTGTTTGCTGGCGATGGTTCAGGGATAATGCCAACAGCCAGGCAACCTCGCGCAAAGAGTGGTCGGTCAGGTGATGTTGGTGGAAGCAGATTATGCCCCGTATCTCGTTTGCTCTGCTAGGTGTGTGGCGGCTGTGTCTGTCCTGACGGGCTGATCTCATTTGCATCTCCGGGCTTTGTATCTCACTCGGCTTGACCGTTGCGCGCTGATGGGGTTCCCGTCATTGGACAAATCGGGTCATTCAATCTCACATGGGAGCCCAGCCTTGGGCTGATATTGGCGGTGGGGCGACGCGGGCTGGGGGGATAGCCACTAAGCGAACGCACAGGCGCTGACTAGGCTGTCAGACGCTGAAGCTTGTTCTGCGGACCCTGGATTTCTAGGACGTGCATTTGTTCATTCCGCCAGCTGAAGGAGGATGGCACGCCCGGATAAAAAAAAACGAGACACTTTTCAATTTTTGCACCAGTGCATACCACCACCACTAATTGAAAAGTGTCCCGTTTTTTTTTTGATTTTTTTTTTTGATCTGGGCGTGGATGGGTCCATTTGAGAAGGCTCAATCGGACGAGAAGGGATTCAAAGCATTCCAAATATAACAGGCGTGTGAAGGATCAGGGGCACAAAGCCCCGGCCAACCTATTTTTGCAATTCTTTTCGACGGCCGCGAAAAAGTTGGCCAGTGGAGTCAATGTTGACATCGATAATCCTGGGGTGAATCCAAGAACACAGCAGGTGAGCAGCACCGCCCCCTAGCACCCCAATGATTGGCCTGCCCAGCCCGCTCCACTCCCTTGCTGCCACCTCCATCGCTGTAACCAACGCTAAATTTGAGCCCGCTTCAAACCGCAGCGCCACACCCACCGAAAGAAGCGTGCCAAGGAACCCCGCCACTTGGCCCGACCACAGTTGCGGTGCTCAGCTTGAGGGTGCCAAGACTTCCATCTCCGTGAACCTGCATGAGTCCCAGAGGGCTGAATCACCGTTGGCGCCTCTGCCACAGGGAAGGAGGCCACCGGCGAAGAATCGGCCTCGTCGATCGGTGTGGGAGAGAAGATATAAGCTGATCAAGAGTCCATGAGGGATAAAGATCTGAACCTGCCAATGGAGCATAACTGCCAAGCAAATCGCATCAACCCCTAGCGACAGCACACCGTCAGCAGCCTACCAACCTACGAGGCATATAAGCGATCCGCTTGACAGTTTTCTGTCCGTTCGTCCTCCCGACCTCCAATCTTTCTTTCCATCTCGCAGACAGCCAAGAGCGGCTTTCATTCAAACAACCACACACGAGCCGGACCTTCTCTACACCACACCGACCACAACCCCCTCACAGCCAGCAACCAGACCATGGTCGCGATCCCAAATGTCATGCGCGACGTGCTCGCCATGATCGAGCCCCGGGCGCCGGTGCCCAAGGGCGGTGGTAGGGGCGGCAGCAGCAGCGGTAGTAGCAGCAGCGGTAGTAGTAGTAGCGGCAGCAAAACGCCCTCCTCCTCCACAACCACATCATCGTCCTCGTCGTCTGGAAAGGGCAACACGGCCGTCGGCACGTCCACCACGACAACGACCACGACGAACAAGGGGTCGTCGGCCGTCGGCGGAGCCACGTCGAGCCGGCCGGGCACCTTCATCTTCATCGGCGGCAGCGGCGGCGGCGGCTTCAGGACCGCCAACGGAGGCTACCTCCCGCTGTGGGTCTTCATCCTCATCCTCGTGCTGAGCTTGATGACCTTCCTCTTCATCGTCGCCTTCATCTACTGCTATGGTAAGTTTACATCCTTTTTCTTCTTTTTCTTCCTCTTCGTCTTCTTTCGCCTTTCCCTCTGCCCCTCTTCATCTGGGTACATGTCCCGTTCCACACACGCACACACATGTGTTACGAACACCCCAGGCTGACCACACCCAACAAAACAGCCCGAGAGCGCAAGCAGCCCGGCAAGACCCGCTGGGGCAAGGTCTTCTGGGGCGCCACAAAGGTCGCCACCTTCCTCTGGATCCCCATCGCAATTTACCGCTGCACCTGCGGCCGCAACCGCAAGAAGGGCAGCGGCGGCACCTTTTACCGCAAGGTCGAGGAAGGCAACGCTGCCGGCGCCGGCGCCGGCGGCAGCTCGGCGAACCCCTTCAGCAACTACAACAATACAGCCTACGGCGGCGCCGGCGGCAGCGGTACCGCAGTCCCCGCGTACGCCCCCGTGCCCGCCCCCGCCCCCAGTCCACTCGGCCCGCCCGCCTACCAGAGCGCCGGCACCGGCGCCGCCGCGAGCTACTACGCCATGGCCCCGCCCAGCTCCGCATACATCCCCGGCGACGCAAAGGGCGGGAACCCGGTCCCCATGTCCGCCCCTTATGCCTTCAAGTAAACCATGGTGTTTGCCTAGCTTATCTATGTCTGGTCGTTTTTCCTCGAACCAAGGCTTTCTCCTTTGTAGTTAGCAGCTTTCCTTTGCTCTCGTTTTCTCTCTTTGGATACCCCTGGCGTGTGTGCTCAATAGCGAACCGCACCCGCCATGACATTTGGTGTTCTGGTTGCTCTTTTGCTTCATTGTGCCTACAACTTTATACAAGTATCAGTCTTCAAACATAAATGAATTTATCAACGCCAGATGACCGCAGTTTGCGGCTGTATCTATACACAAATTGACAAGTGATGGCATGCGCTCCTGTTTCTGAGCAAATTCATCCCAGACGGAACGGGTGAATGAGAAAGGGCCCGAGGAAAGGCCTGAATATCTTCTCGCACAAGCACAAATATCATCGTAGGAGTGTTTGAACGTAAGTGTATTCGGTATTATACGTAGAAGCGAATGTGGCCAACCTCCAACAAAGACCTCCCATCATACGACGCAACCAATATGAACTTGAGAAGGGAGATGAGACTCCATAACGACACGACATGTGAAAAAAAGGGGAAAACGATCAGAGTTTCAAGGATTGAATGATGGGCAACATAGTGCTAGGATTAGGATGTGAGTGGTATTAGATCAATCTCGGGGATCAGGGTGTAAGTCGTGGGTTCGTAAAGCCCCAGATAGGAAATGCAAAACAAGAAAACGCATAGGACTGAAGGCAACCAGATAGGACGAGGTGCCGCGAAAGCAAAAACAAGGGTATCAGTCTAGTCCAGCTCTTTTCGTTGGGTCATGATACAAGTCCGTGGCGCCAAAGCCTCCACCGCCGACTTCCAAACATATCACTGGCTCCCCATTCCGCAGCCAGGTCGGTTGAGAGAATAGGCATTTGACAAATGAAATATCGTGTTATGGGTACGACGGTTGATCCTGGTTCTTTCGAGAGTCGTTTACTCGTCCTCGTAGAACCCGGCATCGTCAAACTCCTCAGCGTGCGCATCAGAGTCGTATGAGCTCTTCCGCATCATTGGCGGCGTCATCGGTGGGCCGCGGCTGGCGTGCCGTTGCGGAGTGCTAAGCCCGGCGCCCATCTCGCTGATGCTTCCGCTCACCTGTCTCGCTGCGACGGTGGACACCGAAGATGACGAGGATGCCGTGCGGCCGCGGTTAGCGAGCTGCTGGGCAGTCAGTCTCCGGCCCGTGTTCGAGAAGGCCGTCGGCTGCTGCGCCACTGCGTGCTGGGGGGTCTGGCGCATGCCCGACGCCGGCGGCGTCAAGAGTCCGGAAAGAAAGCCGCTCTGGGTGGTCGCGCCGTTCTTAGCGGGCGTGGCGCTGCGCCCGCGAGCCGGGGCCGTCACGAGGCCTGTAGGGTCCCGCGACTTGCGCCAGTTGCCCCACGCCGCGGCGAGAGGACCGACCGCCTGCGCAACCCTGGGCGTGGCCGCGTCTCGGAGGCTGGCGGCAATGTTGGGCAGGTTGATGGCCGAGCCCCCGTTCATCGCCCTCTCCCGCTCTTGTTCCTCCATTTGCAGGTTGGCCTTGAGGCGGATGGCCCCGTCCTTGACAGCAATAGGATCGTACTCTTCACTGTCCAGAGCCGCGATGATGTCTTGCAGGTCAGAGTGGCGAACGGCGAGGAGCTCGCGAAGCCATGTGATCTCTTCATCGCGCTTGGACATCTTGCTGTCGGCCTGGGGGTCAACCTTGGACACGACTTGCTCGAGTTCCTCGATCCGCTGCTCGCGGGCCTGCAGCTGCTCCTGAAGCACCATGATCGACTCCCGGAGCGCCTGTGGCGAGATCTTCCCGGGGAGGTCGAGGGAGCGCGGGACGGGAGCAGCAGCCTTGAATGGCATCGCCAGCTGCAGGCTGGGCTCGGCAAGTGCCGCCAGCTGATGAGGCGGGATCTTGGCCGCCTTGGCAGCAGCCCGAGCGGCCTCCTTGGCGATCTCGAGTTTCTCCTCAAGATGCTCCACACGCTCCTGCAGGTTCTTGGACTTAGACGTCGAAATACCGAGTCGCTCAAGCAGGTTCTGCTCAGCACGCTGAGCATCCTCCGTCGTGTTGTTAAGTGCGCGGTCGTGGCGAGCCTGCAGATCTTCCATCTCGTTCTGGTGCTTGCGCGCCAGAGCCTCAAGTTGCGTCTTAAGGGTGCTCTGGGACTCCTCTAGAAGCATCTCATCCTTGGCCTTGGCCGTGTCGGCATCCAGTTTGACCTGGTCGAGCTGGGCTCGGGCCCTCTGGATTTGATCTTCGAGTTCTTCGCGCACCACGTTGACCTGGTGGTTGGCATCGTCAACCTCGGATTGCATCGAGTCGTGCGTGCGCTGGACCTCGCGGGCGGCAGACTCCCGGGCCTCCTGGAACTCGGCCTGGTAACGAAGTGACGTCTGCTGGAGCTGGTGGTTCTCGGTCCGGAGAGCGGCAAGCAAACCCTCGAGCCGCTTGCACTCACTCACCGCCCTCATGCCTTGACGTTCGCCCAGCTCAAGCCTCTCCAGCTCGCCCTCCAGGCGTTCACGGGTTCTAGCCTCGGCTTGGAGTTTGGCATCCAGGACCTCCTGGCGGGCGAGGAGCTCCTGCTCCCTCTTGGCACGCCGAGCGCTCTCCTCGGTGATCTGGCCGGCAGCCTTGGCTACTTCGTCCTGAAGAGTGACGAACCTGGCACGCCAGCTGTCGCGGATACGCTCGTTCTCCTCAACTTGGGTGCCGAGAGAGTCGACGATCTTCTTCAGCTGCTTGTTCTGGTCGGTGAGCTGAGTCAGCTCGCCGCCTTGCTGGCGGGCGATGCTGTTCACACGCTCAGCCTCAGTCTTCCATGTGCGCACCTCCTGCCTGGCATCCCGAAGCTCCGTCTCGAGGCTGCCAATGCGGTTCTGGAACTCGAGGTGCGACTTCTGGTTGTTGGTCTGCGAGGCTTCCAACAGAGCAAGCTTCATGCTAGTCTTGCCACGCGTCTCCTCAAGCCCGTTAAGCTTCTGTTCCCTCTCCTCAAGCGCCTCACGCAGCCTGGTCTCCTCCTCGGACGAGATGCGCAACAGTCGCTGGACCTCAGACAGCCTGTCTTCAGCCTTCCTCCTGTTCTCGATCTCCTCTTCGGTCTTGGCTTCGTGCTGCTTGAGCCTGTTGTCGAGGTCGGTAACGCGATGGTTAAAGACGCTCCTGCTGGTAAGTTCCATTTCGATCTTGGTCTCTGCCATCTGCAACTGTCGGTCGAGTTCTGCGGAATGGTCTTCAGCGGCCCGACGGGCAGCGACTTCCTTCTCAACCTTGCTCTCCTCAAGACGGAGACGATGCTCCAGCTCAGCAGCCTTGGCTTGCAGCTCGTTGAGCTTCTCGCTGAGCTCCTCTTGGCCCTTAACAATCACAGGTTGCGGCGTTGGGATCATGCGACGCTCGACAGCATCCTCGACGATGTTCCTCAGGTCCTCGCCTCGGAAGTCAAGATGTAGCGACTTGCTGAACTGCTCCCTCATCTCATCAACAGCATGCATGATCTTGACCATACCCTCGGTAGGTTCGGGGCGCTGCGGGGCGGGAGTGGTTTCAGACACGCTGTGCTGCTGGGCGGCCAGAGCCTCCATGACAGCTGCGCGGATCTGATCCATACGCCTGTCTCTGCGAGGGCTCATGGAGCGGCGGGCAGCAGGCATGTCATCGTCCTCGTCGTCGGCATCGCTGTGTTGAATATCTGCTGACGCGCTGCGCCTGTCCAGACGACTGGAATTTGGTCGCTTCGAGCTACCGGCCAGGGCCTGCTGAATGCTTTGCAGGGTCCTCTCCATTGGCTGAAGGCGCCTGGCGAGAAGATCACCGACCACCTCGTTGACATGGCCGTTGAAAAAGTTGATTCTGGACTCGAGCTTGGCTTGCTCCTCTTCGGTAAATGCACCATCCCAGTCGCTGTCGGGAACAGTCTCGCTGCCCTGGAGGTGATGCACGTTGCTCTCGGAGAACTGCTGCTCCTCTGCGGGCGGGTCGATGAACGGGTCGTCGAGCTCGGTAGATCTGAGAGGCTGTTGATGGCCGTCAAAACGACCCGGGCTCGGGCTCGGCGCCTCACTCCGGAAGTCATCATGGGGAGCGGCAAGATGCAGAGGCGAGGAGTTTGTGACCGCAGCAAGGGAGAATTGGCGTTTAGGGCTAGGATGATGCCACTGGGGCGTGTCGACGGTCCTGTTGACGCCACCAGATGGATCCTGCTCGAGCTGGTGCAGGATATCATCAATCTCTTCGACAGTAGCCTCTGTTGTCGAAACCGGAAGGTTCTCGTCGAATGATGCATGCGCATCATCAAGCAGCGGCTGTTCGTCTTCGCTGAGTTCGCGGGCATCTTCAGCTGTCCTATCCTCCTCGGAGAGCTCGGGAGGTGAGACGGCGTAACGGGAAGCAGCCAGTCCTGATACCTTGCGCTGCGGTGGCGGCGAAGCAGACTGGGGAGATGGAGAGGCTGCGAAGCGAGAAGACCCAAGGCCTCTTTTCTGCACAGGCTGGGGCGACGGGGTCGAGTCGGCAGGTGTTGCGGTGAGATTAAGATCAGTAGGAGTCGGCGGCTCCGACAAAGCAGGAGCCTCGAGCTCCCGAGTCTCATCTGCGTCAGACGCCTCGGCCTCGTCCTCACGTGCATCCGAGAACTCTTGCTCGTCATCCATGGAGTCGTATTCGGGCTCGGCCGCGGCAGGCTCGGCCTCGAACGAAAGACCGCCAGGAACGAATGGCTTAGCAGCTGCCGACAGGGACTTCTTGTGTCCCTTGACAAAGGTGTCTTCGCCGAACGGCCGCGAGGCATTGAAGCTCCGCATGTCGAGCTGCGACTTGAACTCGAACGGGGTCCAGTTGATGGTACTCTGTGGCATAGAAATCTCTGAGGGGCTGGTCGTCGCCTTCACATCCGCCGACTCGGAAACGACGGTCGATGACAAAGCGGTGTCGCCACCATTCTCGTCTCCCGACTTGACGTCGACATGGATGTGGTCGGTTTGCGGGTGCTCCTCTGGCTGTGTTTCTGTGACGGGCGAGGGCGCCGTCGGTTCGGCAAACAGCGGAACATCATCAGCATCGTCGGAGGCGGCCTTAGCTCGCTTGACTCGACTCTCGTCAATGACGCGGCCCTCTTGATCGTACTGTGTCTCAGGCTCTTCCTTTTGCGGAGCCTCACCCGACGGAGGGACAGGTGAGACAGCCTTGGACTTCTTGCTCTCGGTGTCGGCAATATCCACGTCAATTTTGCCGAAGATGGAGCCAGAACGATCGCCACCGATACTCTCGTTACCAGACAACGGCTGACTAGAAACCGAATTGGCGAGTGAGTGTTGGGGCTTGAAAGCTGGGGCATCTGGCCTAAACTTGGGGCCAGACGCCAAGAAGTTGAAGTCGCCGTGGCCTGGTGAAAATACAGGAGCGTTGGCATTGATCTTGGACGAGCCAAAGCTGAACTGGCTAGACTGGGCCGACAAGGGTGGCTTGGGGGGAGCGTTTGTCCCGGCTTGGAAGACAGCGGTGGGTTGAAATGTGTCGCTGGGGAAGTTGAATTGAGCAGGCTTGAATATGTTTGTTGGGTTGAACTGAGTCGGCTTGAAGCTGTTGGACGGGTTGAACTTGAACTCGGGAGCCTCGACATTGAGACCGGAGAGCGAAGCCTTGCTCTTGTGGCCGGGCCTCCGCGATGCATCAGACCCCGCCTCACTCCAAGGGTTGCTGGTGTTTGAGAACCCGCGCTGGTGTGGTTGGGTGCCCTTGCTGTTACCGTTGACCCCGGTATCGACACCGTTCTCGAGAACTTCCTTGTGCTGGTTCGGTCCGTTGAGAGCGCTCTCGTCCGTGCTGTGTTCCTCTGGCTCGTGGAAGTACTTCTGGGACAGCGAGTGGCCTCTGCTGTGGGGCTGGGGATGGTGCAAAATACTGCCGTCCTTCGAATCATCCCGGAAGCGCTCCACTTGCGGCACAAACTGCACAGATGGCTCTCGGGCATGGACAGCTGCCACGACGTCCTCCTTGTCGGCGTGGGGGCTGTAATCCTTGTCGTGCTCGAGCTGCGAGCGCATCTGCTCTTCGAGGTGGTACTCGGCGTCATTTGCTTCGAGCTGATACTCGGCAGCGTCAATCTCCCGCTGCAGACTGTTGCTCGCGTTGTGCCCAATCACACCAGGCTCAGGCGTCTTGGATGGAACCACATCCTCGGCCTCTTCTTCATCTTCCCGCAGCTCTTGTAGGCGCGGAGAGGCGCGTGCACCTTGGAAGTGCTGGTGCTGGAGCATTGGGTATTGCAGGGACTGGTGGCGCTGGTGCATTGGTGGTTGGAAGCCGTCGGGCTGGAAAGGCGACGTTGGAGACATCATGGAGCTGAGATTGGCCAGAGAGGGAGAACCACCACGCGCGTGGCCGTGGTGGAACATCATAGCCTGTGGCGAGAAGGCATGAGGGCTAGGCAATCCCTGGGACATCTGGAAGGCGCCAGCCGGGATAGAAATCGACTGGCGCGGGTTGAACTTCCCATTGAAAGAGACGGGAGACGCGACGCCCGAGATGTTCGGGCTCTGGTTACCTGAAGACACAAACTGAGCGGGGAAGGGAAACTGGCCATTGCTCGCGGCAGAGGGCGTCCCGAGCGGCGGCGAAAACGGCAGCGGAGGATAGTGTGTAACCGAAGGCTGACGGCTCAGCGGGGAGACGGATGGCGGGGGGGCCTCATCACCTCCCAGTGTGACACCAAGTGCACGGAGCTTTGCCTCCTGCAGTTCTTGCACATAAGACTTCCATGCTATAATATGACAGCCTCACGTTAGCACGTACGCCCTGTTTCAGTTAAATGTAGGGGCTGTGGTGGATGGCCATACCATTCAGGTCAGGCAGGGTCACTTTGTAGGACCGCGTTTGCCTCTCGCTCGCGATGTCATCCCACGTTGGCCACTCGCGTCGGCTCTGGGAGTAGTTACCAGCCTCAGCGAACTGGTTCGTCGGCTCGAGCTCGAAAGGCTTGGTGTTGTATCCCGACTTCTCCCAATCATGCACGATGCCAGAGGCCTCGTCTTGTGTAAGCGGCATCGGTGCCTGGCCAGCCTTTCCACGGTCGTCATCACGAGGGAGAAGGATCAAGATGTTTTTGCCCTTCCATGGCACTTTTTTCTTGAGTCTAGGGGTCATCTGTGACATTTTACTTATCGACTTCGAAGGTGTGTGTGGCAGATTCGGTAGGTTGAAGCCCACCCGAGGCCCGTTGATGGAACCATTAGTGCGCCCCGAGGCAGACCCCTTGGGGGTAGTAGGGGCTGGAAGAGTGGAGTCAGAGACGTTCTCGCTTGCCCAATCCAGGGCGACGTTATCGAGTTGTGACGGCATGATTGGTGAATCTGCTGGCGACGAATTTCGGATATGCTCCTGCTTGAGCGTCTCTGTGCTCGAACGTGTGCGAGGGTACTTCTGGGGGCCCCGGCGAAAGTAGTTGGGTGGCCGTGTAGCCCTGGGGGTTTTAAGGTCGGTTTCGTCAAGCCAAGCAGCCTCGTCACCGGAGAAAGATCCGCTCAGTGAAGAGGTCTCGCTATCTCCGGTACCGTCGCTGAGCCAGTGCCTGGCCTCAGCACCTCCGTCGCCCGCGGTGTGCTGGCGAATCCAGTCCTCGGTGAGGCCGCGGGCTGGCCTGCGGGCACGGTTTGCAAGAACCGCGGCGCTCACGAAGCCTGATTGCGGTGGCTGTGACTCGGCGCTCGGGTCCTGGAAGTATGGCGGGGGCCGGAGAAAGGGCGTTTCTATGGCCAACAAATGGACTGGCGAGGAATCCGACGACGGCGCGCTGTCTAGGCTGTCGTTGCCGCTGTTGGACCTGTCAGATTGAGGGTATGGCGAGCCCCAACTTGCGGTCACGTATTTCTTCTCGCCGCTCTTGCTGCTCGGGGGCGTGCGCAAGAATTCCTGCGCTCGGCCTGGGAGTCGTGGCGCTTGGAGCGGGGGGACGATAGGCGAAGAGCCGTCGTAGTCACCGTCTGCAGTCGATGTGAGGGACACGGCGGGCGACCTCGGGGACGAAGGGACGGAAGACCGATTGTCTCGGCCGTCCTGTGCAGCAGCACCAGGAGGTGACGACTTTGGCGACGACGTTTTTACAGCTGTCTGGAGGTTGGGATAGTGTGTTAGAGAGACTGGAGCTTACGTCTCATGTCCAGCATAGTCGGCAGTAGGAGTCCTGCTATAGTCTCGGCAGGGCCGAGCAGAGAGAGAAAAAAGGGGGGCGGTGGCCAGGAAGTAGGCGGGAATGGGAGGGGCTTACCACCACGAGATCCAGCGCAGACGAGGTTGGAATCGCCTGCAACTGAAATCTCTAATAAACGCGTCGTTCCCAACTTTACCAGATCGTCCTTAATGGGATCGAACAGGTGCAGGAGCCAGAACGAAGGGAAAATTGCGCTCGACTAGTCGCGACGCGTTTGGGCAAAATTGTCAAGGGCCCTTGCTGCAGAGGCAGAAAAAAAAACCGGTTTACAAAAACCTCGGGGGACGAAGAAAACTAGGCATTAAAGGAGCGACATTAAGAACGGAAATGCAGGGAGGATGCAGCAGCCGGACACATCTGGACGCAGGTTGACGCCCTCTGGAGACTTCACAGGAAAAGTGAGGTCGTTGTCAGAGCAAAGGACGAAAGGGGCTTGGGCTGCGAGCGGACTCGGACGCGAGGAGCTGGAAGTGTTTGCTCTTTCTTTCGGGTCGGGAGGAAGGTGCGCGGGCGGACAAGCTCAGGGAACAGGCGCCAATAATTTTTGCAATGAACACGCTTCCCTGGAGGCTGGGCCGGCCCCACTGCTTGATGCGCTGCCAAAGGTTAGGAAACGGTCTGTCCGTTGCGGGAGTACATGCGACAAGCGGCAATCTTGCGGCCAAATTGGCCTCGCATGCGGACGGAGTGGATACGCAATGTTTGTACCGACCTAACAGCACAAAGTATCCGTCGGCAACTCCTTTTCTGGCGGCGGGGCAATCCATCACCGCTCATTTTGCCCACACCCTGCCAGTCCCTGGCCCTATTTCGCAAGCTCGGGTTCATTTCAGCATCTCCAGCGATTTGATGAAGGCTAGCCCGGCGTTGGCGCGTAGTTTAAAGCGCGATAGCTAATTTCAGATGCGCCTCGACTCTTCGCCTTTCGATTCTGCCACCCCGGATTTTTGCGTCTCCCTTTGTGCGCTCATTCCTTGACCCCCAGACTCGCCCTGCGATCGATTGACGGCGGTCCCCGCCATCGTCCGTGACCACGCGCCAAGCACGCAGAGTCGGGTTCTCAGGGCCGCGAAATCCAGGGTCTGCCCCATGCCAGCCTACCCGACTCCGCGGGAGCCCGAGGAACAAGTGGTCGGGCCTGTGTGACGACGCCAACAACGACATCAGGCTGCACGACGTGGACAGGCCGGATGCACGGCGTACGAGCTAGAGGTGCCTGCACTCCTGGGTACCCATTCCGACTCTTCTTGCTTATTTCAAATGAATGGGAGAACAGCATTCGTTCTTACAGGGCGGAAGGGTCGGGTCGGGAGACCTCGGCCTCGACGGACGAATGTAACCAGCCCACCCCGCTGTTCCACCTCCACGTGTGGACAACAAAAGCACATGAAGGACGTCGAGCTCTTAGCGAGCCAGAGAAGCAAGCCACGCTGCGCATCGCTGTTGAACAACGCATCCAATCCAACCCAAATCTCAATTACGTGAAAACCATTGGGGGTTAGGTATCAAACCTGAGGTATACTAGTGCCGACCAGAACGCCACCCAAAGCCAGCCCTAAAACAAAGCCACCACACAGAGGCCCGACGTGCTTGCTGCACCAATCCTTTTGTAGGTACAGACAAAAAACTGCTCTTGCGAGTCGATGGTCCAAAAGTCGTGATTGGAAAGAAGAGAAGGAAATACTTTGGGAAACTAGCAGAAAGCTGGCAGCACGCAGGTGCTTCATACGTCGCAGAAAAAGTCGAACTCGGCGTTTGAGCTGACGAGGGCGTTGAAGGCTGTCTGTGTTGCAGATGCTGCCGCTGCCTTGCATTCCTCTGTGAAATATTGCTGTTAGTCGGGTGTGCTTCCGAAAAGAGCCCAATGCCTTGGACGTGGGCGTGGGCGCCGAACAGGAGTCTTGAGCAAGGGCGGGCCATCATACCGTTTTGCTTGTCACATTCTCCAACTGTAAAGTCGCCCTTCTTGCTCCCGTTTGCCATGTCGGCGCACGCGTTCTTCTGGTTGTCGCACGCCCTGTTCGCCGCCGACCTGAAGTCTGTAAATGTGTCGCCGTTGACCTCAAAGGGCCGCTTCTGGTCGGATGATTGCGTGATCTGCAAGAAAAGCCAGGGACAACACGTCCTCGCCGTCAGCACCCGCCCAAATCGAAGAATAGCGCGACTCCGACGCCAGGGCCGCGGGCAGCCCCCCTCTCCGCCTGCGAGTGTGCGTGGCTAGCGGGTGTCCTGGATTCGATTGCGTCAATTGAAGAAATAAAATAAAAACATACCGACTGTGCTTTGGCGCCCCCCAGCGAGCCGCTGAATGATTGCAGACCCTTGGTCTGTCGCGGAAGCAGCGAGCCTCCCATCCTGAACCCGCCACGCACCTCGTCTGTGATATCGCTGCCCAGCGCCGCCGCCACGAGCGCGAGCACCACAGAAGTCGTCGCTATCCTGTGGGTAAACATGGCTTGTTTTGTTATTTTGGTTTGGTTGGCGGGCGTCGTATCCCTTCGCCAAGTTCGGTCGCGCGTCTTTGTTTCCGTCCTCCCACAGGACAGGAGCTAAGTCGATGATTCGATGGCCGATTGGGGTTCGGCGCGAATGTTGATTGTTTAGAAGTACGGCTCCACGCGTTTCTTGGTCCAGCGTCGAGGTTCGAGATAATCCAGGCTTAACATCAACCTCAGTGTCGTACAATCTGATGATAAAGAGTCCCGAGAAGTCGTCAGTTGCAATCAGAAGAGACGAATTCCAGAGAAGCAGGCTCCGGTCTGGGCCGTCCCACGAGGTGAAACCAGGCCTCTCGACCAGGACCGGGGGGCTACAAGGGGCCTGAAACAGTCTTGACACCCGCCCAGACGGCCACCGAGCGCTGTCCACGTGGTGGTTCAACGAGCACGATTGAATCAAAGACGCATCCGTAGCGTATCTGAGAGGAATACATTACAACACTTGAAGGTATTGATATGGGGATCATTACCTACACGTCAGATGTACGAGTTTGTTGCCTGCAGAACACCACATTCACATTGACGAATCAGAAGCATAAGAAGGGCAAAGGAGGAGCTACGGCGCAAGGTAGAAAAATGAGTGGCTGCATTTTGTCTAGACCGTAGGTAGCTTCTTTCATCTATATTAGATTCAATGTATGAGGGCAAGAGAGGCGTTCATAATGTCGCGCATATGCTGCTTCCAAACCCAAAAAAAAACAAAAAAAAAAAAACCAAGCCGAGATATCGTGCTCATTAATCCCGGTGCTGAGATATTCACGAGACCTTGGAGGAAAAAAAAGGGGGTCAATAAAATAAATACTGGTAAAAGCTTACACACCAGATCCCTCTGGGCCCCGAGACAGCATGTTAGCTCTGCCATCGGGTGGGCTCGACAGCCTAGATGGAAAGCAAATGAGTTGAAATGAACAAAAAGGCAGTACGCCATGAATTGCTTCTGCGTCAAACAAGCTATTCCGATAAACCTGACTTGCGATGATGCCGTAAATGCAACCCTCCCTCCTGGAGTTCCGCTTGGGACGTGCTAGGCCAGACTGTGAGGAGAAAAGCGATGATGATGAGCTCTATAAACAGTGGGTATCGTGTGGCCGCCGAGCTTGCTGGATCCGCGGGGCTTCTCCCAAACGACTGCGTACGATGAGAAGCGAGCACCGAGAAACAACAATTAGAAATTCGACGCCGTGTTGACTTGGGTGGGCGCGTGGTAGCTTTCCAGAGTGCTTTGGAACGGCGTGCGGCTGCTCTGCGAGCTGGGCTGCTGCTGGTCGGGCTTCTCGGCAGGGCTGTAGCTGGGACCGAAAGCACCCTCGGCCTCCTCCTGGTTCCTCTTGCGACCCCAGACCCTCCAAGCGACGATACCAACGACAGCCAGCACAATGGCACCACCGATGCCACAAACGACACCGATGATGGTCTTCTTCTGGTCCTCGCTCATGCCTGCCTGTTGCTGGTTGTTTCCGTTGCCACCACCAGCCAGTGATCCTGCAGACGTGGATGTCGTCGTGAACTCGCTAATCATCGTCGAGGAACTCCCATCCACGACTACGACGGTGGTCCTCGTCCCCCTCGACGTGATCGTAGTCCCAGGGGTCGAGGTGGTATCCTGGCCCCTATCCGTCGGGGGAGGCGTTGTCTGCGGAGGTGTCGTCCTGGGCGTCGTCGAGGGCGGCGGCGAGTTATTGTTGTTGTTATTGCCGGAAGTCGACGCCGGGGGAGGAGGCGGCGGCGTTGTGCTTGTGGTCTGGGGAGGAGTAGTTGGCGAGTTCGGAGGAGTCGTCGTCGGCGGCGGCGTCGTCGTCCTGGGGCTTGTGGTTGGCGAGGTCGACGGAGGAGCGGACGCTGACCCAGAGCCGCTAGACTGTCTCTTGGCAAGCTGATGATCCAAACCGCCCTGGACGTGGACATCAGGCACACTGGCCTGCGCGGTGGTAAAGGCCGTCAGGGCCACCGCAAGAGCCCTCAGAAGTTGAGTGGAGTGCATCGTGACGAGAGCTGCGGTGCGAGTCTCGAGAGAACGGAAGGCGGAGACGAGTGTCAACAAGATAATGTACTCCCAATGATAAAGGAGACAGGTCGGGCGGCAGGGTCACCCAGCCAAAATAAAACTCTTCAGGAGGCGGATAAAAGTTATGCGGCTGATCGACTGGGCCGTGTCGCAGAGTCGAGGGCTTCAGTGGAATCAGACCAGGACGCAAATTTTATCTTGGTCCAATGTGGTGGTTTTTTTTGTTGGATGAGCAAACGATGGGATAAGCAATAGCTCGGGTCGTCTTTGAAGCCTTAGCAGAGGATTCCCTTGTAATGCAGTTGGAGCAAGAGAAGGGCTGGACGAAGGAAAAGGATGATACGAATGGAAAGGACCAGAAAAACGAGCGATGGTGAATGGTCAACAAAGACGGATGGGATGGTTGTCCTTGAACAGAACCGAAGAAAGGGACAGGCAAGGACTGGCGGTCGTGGGCCCCGAGTCAGCCAGCAGATCTCAGTGGGAGTGGGTCAAAAAGAAGTGGTGTGGAGACAAAGACCGTTTTGGACCCATCACATTGCAGGAGTCCTTCGTATTCCCAGGAGAGGAGGCCGCCACCCTGCACGTTAGTACCCCACGATTATGCTGCCCCCAACCACATCCCAGATAACGGCCAGTAAACGGCACGAAGATGACGTTTCCCACCCGTTCAGGGGAGCCATTTAGTTGTGGTTCTAGCTCCGGAACAAGGTCTCATGAGCACAGGTCTAGTTTGCCAGCATGCTAGCCCACCTTGGTACCTCCTACTTGCCTACCGAGCCTGGAGGAAGCCTAGATTCCTGCATCCAATACCGCAAACTCGCGGGCATCCGGCAGCCCGGCCTAGTGGGCACGTGGGCTACCGACTCTCTCGGGGTCGGATGCCGTCAACTCTACCCCTAGGCGACTGATAGGCTAGACCAACCCATGTAGTCAACGAAAGCTACCGAGGTAGTACCTGCGCTAGCCTAGAACTGGGACGGGCAATTCTCAAGTTCCCGGGCATCTCCCGAGCAATTGCAAGATGCACCTGTAAGATAGAGTCTGTGTTACTAGGTATCTTCATCGGTGTCTATTGGGTGCCGACCATCTGAATTACGGCAGTATGAGTCCATAAAATGGCACATGCGATATCTGCCCAGCCCCTACCTCATATTCCAACCCAAAAACCCGCGGCTAAATAAAGGTCTCAAGCGCATTGGGCAACCTGAACCCAAGCACCAATTCGGCAATAAGCACATGCGATCGGGCGGAACGCTAAAACGCGAGCCACAAGAGTGGTGCCGCATGTGCCGTAAAAAAAAAAAAAGTGATCTGTCAGCCAAGGAAACGGTATGAACAGGCCAAGTCGGCACATTGGGTCTCTGTTTGGGTGGCAGTTGAAAAAATAACGCCCGAGACCGGGCTGCCCGTCCGTCTTGTTGAGACATGGATACCGAGGGTTGGCCGACCAGTTGCCAGCTGGACATCCACCCAAGCGTGCTGTGCGACCCGCCCTGAATCAGCTTGCGCGGCCTGTCATCTCGTCCTTCTGACAAAAGCGGAAGCATGTGGTTTGTCGTTCGCTTCTTCATAGATTCTGCTTCTAACTGCACCGGGTACCGATTCAGGCGCGGCGTGCATATCGATATTGACCATCGGCACTGTACTGTGTCTGGTGGCTGACGCACCTTGGTGCGAACTGCGCAAAGCCTGGATGCGGCGCCATGACGAAAGCACACTGCCGAGAGGCCAAAAATACACTGGACCAGTCTGGACCAACCAGCAATAAGCGCCCGCTTGGAAGATAGAGTCATTCCAATATTCCTGGATCTGAACCCTTTTTTTCGGTCTTTTCCGAGAGACAAAGAACCAGGAATCTGGGCAGTCTCTTCTTGCTCGCTTTCACCGCCTGCGCTGGCATCTGGGGACGTGATCGCCCCCTAGGACCGACCCTTAAGCAGATTTCTTGGTCGGGAGTTTGCTGATCGGCCCACCCCAATTTTATGCGCTCTCCGAACAGCCTCATTGACCTTATGAAGGCAACCGATGAAACCCTGTCCGGGGCGATCCGTTTAGGGGTATCCACGCCCCGGGATTGTTATGTACCCTTTTGGCAGGCGAATTGATGGAATGAAATGCTGCACACCTGGGAGGAACATCAACGCCACCCATAATGAAGACACGCGAATACGCTGGCTAAACGGAGCAATGGTATATTGATGCTCATGGCCTCCTGGGATCGGACCTCTCGGTGCGCCTTTGAGCCTCTGCAAACAATATCCCCAGCGCAAACAGTGGTCGAAGGATGACCGGTGATTTCATTTTCCTTTCGGATTTTTTTTTAACATGCGGCATTCCAGCCTAAAGTCCGAGTAAATAACGCAGAATAAACGTATACTGAAGCCTCATTTTGAGAACACTACCAGGGATATCCTTTGCTCTTGTCATCCACACTGCCCAAATAACCATCAAGACAAAATTCGATCGATTCCCACCCACCACCTAGCCAATCATGGGAATTTTGTCTCGGCGATTATTTGGGCAGCGTGCCGTCGTATATTAGCTTTATCTAGACCTCGGTGCTTGGTTAATGAATAGCGAGATTCGCGGCAGAGCCCGAGCCCCTGTGCGTTCCGTTTTTTTTCCTGTGCGGGCGCAGCGTTTTACGTCGTCATATTTCCCAGATTTGAACTGAGGTGGCACAGAGCTGAGGAGCCAGAAAACCGACCAAGTAGACCGGGCTGAACATGCACTCGAAAATCTGCGACATTGGCATCGAGTTAAATACCTCCAACGCTTTATTATAAAAAAGAGTTTATCTAAAAAATCTGCTAGAACAAGTTGAGCTATACAGCCACATGTGCCTTGAGACAATCTCAATGCTCATGAGGAGGCTGTCACAAAGATGCACCAGCCACATTACCAGATTAGCCACATGTGGCGATAAATTCTTGCATCAGCCAACCTACGGATTGTTAACGGAACAACCGTGCGGACGGGCATGCTCGACCTGCCACCATCAGCAGCAACCCACTCGGCAAAACTCACCTTATAGTAATTCGGGACAACAAGAGACATGGCAGCAAAGCAAAGAAACTGGGGCTTGTGGCTGAAGATGATCTTGGGGTGAGCTTTTGTATATCGGCGACCCTTCCAGCTCTTGCCTAGACTAACTGATCATTTCTTTTTCCCTCCCCACGGCGCAGCGGGACTGCCATGGCTGTGGGAGGACCCATGTTCGTCATGTCAATAACGCCCACGGAGGAGGAGCTCTTCAAGAAATACAACCCCGACCTGCAGAAGCGGAGTCTAGAGACTCGTCACGAGAGGCAAAAGGAGTACGATGACTTTGTCACCAAGCTCAAGGAGTACTCCAAGTCAGACAAGTCTAGTAAGTCACACGTGCTGTATTATGCGATGCTGGAGACGCGCGCTGATGTGCCCGTTTTGGGCCTTCCATAGTATGGATTGTGCAGGCCGAGGAACAACAGAGGGAGAAGGAGGCTCAAGCAGAGGCGAGACGTCGAGCGCAAGAGGACGGGGAAGCTAGAAAGGAGCAGATGAGGAGAGAGTTGGGGCTGAGGGGTGTGTCGAAGGCTTGATCAATACATCCCACTAGGTACCTACCTTTCTACCTAGGTCTTTCTTATAGCAGCCGGAATTATAACAGCACATCAGCAGATTTATGACCTAATGGGAGTTGCACATTTGGGTATCAAAATGAGGGGCAACAACACCCAAACTCGGTTGGGAAAGTACTGGGACACGGGCAGACACCAGGAACTTACTGAATCAGATCGAACACAAGGAGTATCTCTTATTACAAGTGCTTGACTGTGGCCCTAGTCGAACCTCACGACATGCCCCTCCTGCAACTCGGATTTTCCCTCTCACAGAAGACAGACAGGCGCAGTGACAGCTTGTGCAGACTCGGCCACACAATGACTGAACTGACGGCAAAACTGCAAGGAGGTGGCGCGCATGCAGGACCGGGGAGGGATGCCGTTGGGTGGAGCACTAGCCGCAGGTCGCAGCACTACTCAATGCTGGGTGCACATTGTTGGGTGCGTGGAAAATTGATTTTGCACAAGCGAAAAATCTTGGCGCGCACAAATTCACCAGTCTGTCTGGGCAAGGCTACTTTGGCTGGAAAGCTCCCTCGATCACCCCGCCTTGCTCCCGAGCAAAAGAAAGAAAAAAGCACAGCCCTGAAATTGCACCGGGTACGTACACTGGAGCATGCAATACTCGGGGGATTCGGGTTTTCAGTGCCCGCCCACTGCTGACAGTTCAGCCCATCACTGGGGGTTGACCCAGACCTCGAGCCACAAGCCCACCATTTGCCAATTTACTAATCCGGAGCGTCGACAAGCAGCCCACCACCACATCTCATTCTTTTGCAACTTCCACCAGTCCACCCGTTGCCGACTGCCTCCATACCTCAATCATGGCCGATGTTCAGGAGCGTCTCAAGAAGCTGGGTGCTACCGCACGTATTGGTAAGGCTGATCGATGCGCGCTGCAAGCACTGCGAAAATGAGGGGAAGGAGAGAAAAATGAAGGAAGGGAAAATGATGCTAACCCTGCGAATTAGGGTATGTATCTTCAGCCAAATTTCCACGCCGACCCCGACCGATTTTTTTTTCGCGATATACGAGTAGACGAGGGAAAGCGACAGAGAGGAGATTTGCAGAGGGCGCAACAGGCAGAATGCTGGGCATCATGAAGGAGCCCCGCGACGCGACTGGCGGCCACCACCCCACCTGCACGCACGCAATATTTGGAGCCGACCGCTAACAAGAGGCGGCGATACAGTGGCAAGGGCACTCCCCGGAGGAAGGTCAAGCGCGCCCCCGCGCGGTCCGGCGGCGACGACAAGAAGCTCCAGCAGACGCTGAAGAAGCTCAACGTCCAGCCCATCCAGGCCATCGAGGAGGTTAACATGTTCAAGAGCGACGGCAACGTGATCCACTTCGCCGCCCCGAAAGGTAAAGGAAATCGAGCGGGGTTTTGCGGGGGGCTTCCTTGAGGCGAAGGTTGTGGTTCTTGCGCTGACTGGGTCTCGTCTTCGCTCCTAGTCCACGCCGCTGTTCCGGCCAACACCTTCGCCATCTACGGCAACGGCGAGGACAAGGAGCTGACGGAGCTCGTTCCCGGTATCCTTAACCAGCTGGGCCCCGACTCGCTAGCTTCGCTGAGGAAGCTGGCGGAGAGCTACCAGAACATGCAAAAGACCGAGGGCGACAAGGACGCCGACGACGACGACATCCCGGAACTCGTCGCCGGCGAGAACTTTGAGGACAAGGTCGAGTAAACAACGACCTGGCCATGGCGACTAGATATTTCCGCGACGAACCTACACGATCGATCAACTCTCCAAACACATTTACGACAAACCTTCAACCACGCAATGGGAAATTCTCTAGACTCGGGGGCGGAAGGGAAACGGCTGCGGCGCGCGTTGGAATGGGCACGGGAAGTCACGGTTCTGCTTACCCCGCGTAAGGAAGCTCGAGATGGTGGTTTCTTTGGCTCCTTTGTGTCGTTCACATGACGACCTAGCACATCAGAAATGGAATATTTTTGTTATGCGCGGGGAATACTTCTCGTATCCTGGGTACCTGCAAGATCGGGATTTACCAGATGATACCCAGCCTCGTCGTGTAGGCCGTGCTTTGCCGAGTTGGTTCTATCTTACGTGAAGCTCGCGTGTCTTCACAAACTGAACTGGTCGTCAGCGACGTTACCCACCCAGCCTTTGAGCCCAGTCGCCTTGACCTGCTCTTTGACATGAGCCCTCGCCTGTAGGAGCTCGCTCTGCTTCAACTCCTTGTAAGTCGCAGCCTCGGACAGGACCTTGCGGACGGCCACGGCCCCCGCGCCGAGCAGAACCGCCGACGAGGCCACGCTCAGCGCCCGCCCCCACATGCCGGCCCTGCAGAGCACGCTCGCGCCCTTGGGGTCCGTCTGCTTCCTGCCCTGCTGCACCCCCGCCATGACGCCCTCCTCGAGGCCGGCCCGGTTCCACGCCACGGCCTGGGGGCTGGGCGCGATCCTCGCGCCGCTGCCCCGGGGGGCCCGCGCTGCCGCCCTCCTGCGCGAGAAGTCGAAGTCGACGCCGGGGGACGTCGGGCGCACGTCGAAGGGGTGGAAGCCGTAGCCGCCAGGCCACAGCTGGTGGCCCGCCGCGGCCACGTCCCGCATCCTGCCGTCGGCGGAGAAGGAGCGGCGGCAGCCCTCCTCGGAGTGCTGGGGCTCGGGCAGGATCAGCGTCCGTAGGTAGACGCCGCGCGGGCTCACCAGGAGCGAGGCCGGTGACGAGAGCAACGAGGCGCACTGGCTCATGGCCAGCTTGTCCGAGCACGACTTGGATAGCGTCTGCGGGGCGTCGCCGCGTGCGGGCTTGCGCCGGACCACGCCGAGCCGGGAGAAGTAGGCGCGCCCGGGCAGGTCGCCGCCGCCCTCTGCCGGGGAGGAGGGGCCGCAGCCGGGCGGGACCTCCCATGGGGTACTGTCCTCCTGAGCGGCCATCACCAGTTCCATTGAGGCGTCTCCGCCTGGGAGGAGGGGGGTCCGGGGGTGTTGTTAGCGGTCGCAAGTCACAGGTTTGCTTGGCTTGCATCAGTAGGTAGGTTTGAGCTTGGGCAAGGCCGGGGTGCTCTTACAGGGTGCCTCGGAGCAATACATATGCAAGCTCACGTCCTCCCTCCATGCAAACGGCTGGCCGCTCCACCACTCGTCGCTGTTGGTCTGGGCGATCTCCTCTGCGCTCCTGACGCGGAGGTACTCAGAGGCACTCAGCCCCATAGCCAGATTTCTGCACTCTTCGAGGACAAAATGGTTGAAGGCGCGGATGGCCAGGATCTCCGCGTGCCAGTCGTGAAGGATGATGCCCTTGGCATGCGGCACCTTGGGGGCCGGCAGACACTTCATGCCTGTCCTATGAGCGGCGGTTATGTCCAATAAGCACTTGCTCGCCATTTTCATGGAGTAACAAAGGCGGCTTCGCCCACTCACGCCAGGGAGAGACAAGTGTATGATGATGTTCTTCCGCCTATAAAATCCGTATAAATACATATATCCAGTCGAGAAGGTGCTTCCGCTGCAGGGAGAGCAGACACAGGAGGCGAACGGCTTGGTTACCTCGTGCCACAATCCCGCTGAGTGGAACCCACTCATGAATACCATTTCCACGGATGGGAGGCTTCCTTTTGTTTGGAAGTTTGTCGAACTCGCCTAGTACGGCGGCCGCGATTGCATCGGCCTCAGAGGCCATGGTTCAGGTCCTGTGAAAAGTTAGGAGTAGCACGGCGGAGGCCCGATTCTGCAGAATGGGGATAGAGTCTGCAGGCCTGCCGGGACAGCCGGAGATAGGTGAGCATGTACCAATATGTTATTTTCTTGAAAATCTATGGATCGAACCTTCGCCCGGTTTAAATGCCCCTCTGAATGTGTCGAGCACACCACCGTCCCGAACGCCCCAGTCAAGAACCACTCAAAGCGTCAGTGCCTCAGGCAATCACGTACTCTAGCTGAGTCATCGACCCCTGGCTTGCCGCCCCACCCAATTGCGCAGCAGGGCCTGAGACGCACAACAATTTTGAATTGAGCGAGACGTCTTTGTCGCCTGCCTTTGCCCATTTGACGACAACCTTACACCCAACTCCCTCGCCGACAGCAACTTCATCGACGACGACAACAACCAGCCAAAATGCGGACGTACGACGACGCCTTCTCCGGCCAACGGATTTACCCTGGCAAGGTACGACGCCCCATCTCGGGAAGGCACTGGCTCTGCGTCCCCCGCCGCGACGACTCGACCCTCCCGACCCGGTTTGGATCCTGCACGGATGGAAGAGACGGAACTTGGGAGGGGAATATGTGCGGAACGGCGGTCTCGCGAGAGCCGCCGGTGGGAATGATCAAACCGGGTCGCGTGGTTTCGCGACCGTGATGGGGGACATGGAGCACGTCTTTGACGTATCTCCACGGTTCCATCAGGGACTTGTTTGGGCCAGCAGCTGACGTCCTTTCTGTTCGAATGAATCCAGGGTAAGATCTACGTTCGTGGCGACAGCAAGATCTTCCGCTTCCAGAACGGCAAGTCCGAGTCGCTGTTCCTGCAGCGCAAGAACCCCCGCCGCATCGCCTGGACCGTCCTGTACCGCCGCCAACACCGCAAGGGTATCTCTGAGGTATGAGCCTTCCACCGCACTACCCTGCCCTGCCCGAGCCCCCCAAACACTCCTTGGGCCGCCCGGTCATTGGCGCTCCCAATCGGCGATCACGCCACACCAATCGGGGGTGGAGCTCGACGTGGTTGGACGGAATATGATGGAATGGGCTTCCTGAGCTTGCAGCGGTTCTAGATGGCTAACCGTGTCTTGTTTTTCCCCTCGTATAGGAGGTCGCCAAGAAGCGCACCAGGAGGACCGTCAAGGCGCAGCGTGCCATCGTTGGCGCATCTCTCGATGTGATCAAGGAGCGCCGGACGATGCGGCCCGAGGCCCGCAGCGCCGCCAGGGCCGCCGCTATTAAGGAGAGCAAGGCCAAGAAGGTCGAGGCTGAGAAGGCGAAGAAGGCCGAGAAGGCCAAGGCCGCCGGCGCCGCTGGCAAGGGCCAGACCGGCCGTCTGACGAGCAAGCAGGGCGCCAAGGGTGCCCCGGTGAAGGTCGCCGCCAAGAGCCGTTAAAGAGCAGGGTGCTGTCATGAAAAATTCTTGGGACGGAGTTCTTGTGCGTGTGGCGGGCGTCAAATCCTTGGGAACAAGCGACGTGGATCGAGATCCATCTTGGACACCTCGGTCACAACACAAGTCGTTGGCCCTCCGTTTTTGGCCAAGATAGGCATAGTGCGACGGCAGCAGCAGCTGTCGGCTCGCCCTCACCGGGACGGCGGTGGCGGCGGCTACGGACGGAGTCGGAACGGGTCTCCCTTTTCTTTTTGCCACGGTATTTCCAAAATTCATGGGTTGGGGTCTTTCTTCAAACCAACGTGGCCGGTAGCATGGAATCATTCAAACCAGGGACTGCGCGATTTGCATGGGTAGATTTCGGAATACTGCGAGATTTTTGTGTTTTTCGTTGACGTGTACAGCTGTCGAGGGCCGCCTGCTCGCGTGACATTATAGAATGCCCATATTTACACCCGCCATGGCATTTTACAACTTGGCGAGCACAGCCTCGGCGCCCGAAACCGCGGTGCCGGAGCCGCCCTCCTTCTCGGCGTAGACAACCTTACCCTTGTCGACGACGACGGCGTACCTCGCGGTGCGCTCGCCCATGGTCCAGCCAAGGCTCTTGGAGAACTTGGCGCCGTCGTCGCTCGCAAAAAGCTGTATATTTTGTGAAGCGAAGGAGGTTAGGCGGACCCGCGTCGCTGAAGCAGGTTAGGAAGGGGGCGAGGAGGTTAGGAGCAATGACTTACGATAAAGTCGTCGTGAACGCCGTTGGCCTTTCCCCAGGCGCTCATGACCCAGTGGTCGTTGTAGGCGATGAAGACGACCTGGTCGACGCCCTTGGCCTTGAGCTCGTCGCGCTTGGCGATGAAGCCCGTGACGTGTTGCTCCTGGCACGTGGGCGTGAAGGCGCCGGGGACCGAGACGAGGACGACCTTCTTGCTCTTGAACTCTGGTTGTTGTTACGGTTGGCTTCGTTAGTGATGCTACCATCTGTGGGGAGTAGGTGGATGCATTCTCGTGTGTGAATCCCCTCCCCGTTTGCTTTTACCCCGCCGAAGCTTCGCTCACCTTTGCTGGCATCGTACTTGATGCCGGTGCCGCACGCCACGACGTCCTCCTGCTTCCCAGAGGGCGGGACGTAGGTGAAGGCGACGTCCTCGGGGAAGGCGTCGCCGGCTTTGAGAGTGGTGGCCATGGTTGGTTTTGGCTACGTGGTTTGTATTTGGGGAGCGAGGGTTTGTGGGTTTGAGAAAGCGGGAGATGTTCTTTTGGGGACGAGTTGATGCAGGCCGAGTTGTTGATGTCCGGCGAGTTTTCTTCTCGCTTCAGGTTTGATAAGCTCTCGAGGTAAAATAGTCTAGACCAAAGGAGGGAATTGTGCACCTCCCCCGTCCCTTCCCTTTTTTATTGACTTTCCCGGGCCCGGCGAGCCTGCCCTCAGGGCCCCCTCGACCCCACCTTGCTGCCACCTCTCCGGCTGCCATGGATGTAGCTTCTTCCACCTTCCGCCGTGTCCGAGGCCGCAACCCGCGAAATCGGTGCCTGAGGCAGCGATTCCTAGAAGGCCGGAGGTTCCGAGACCCGACGACCTTCGGAGGGTCGTTTGCACCGTTCCTTGCAGCAAGACCAGAGGAGACAAGGCGTGCACGGCGGCGGCGGCGGCAGTAGTAGCCGCAGTATGCCCGGCCTCATTTCAGCGAGGTGGAAGCTCAGCGCAAAAGGGCATCTTGGACAGTAGCCCTTGCGGAGGGCCATGCTTAATACACGTCAACAGGCAGTTAGAGTTCTTGGGCGGAGGGCGGTCGATAGGGCCGGGTGCGGCGATTGCTCCCATACCAGCCAAGTGGCCTACCTAGTCTGGAGGGATGTACGGTATGACTGTTGATCATGTTCTCGGGGTGGCAGGTGAGCCGAGCATGTCTACTGGGGCTCTGCCGACATTACGGCGCTACTCTACGGTGCGCGTTTCGCCATCGCCATCTTCACCTTTTTTTCCCCGGTTGCCGGCGTTCTGGCTTGCGTCTCCTTTAGAGGACGGACGGTCTTGGGTGGCTTCGCCGTTTGTACGATGTCGGCGCGACATGGCGGGCTGCCCTGGCACCCGGAGCCCCCGGCAAATAACGGATTACGAGCAGGTCTAGAAAAGGTTAGCTTAATGGCTGCGCCGGGCTCTTGGCAAGCCCGATCCCGTTCAGCCATCCACAGGCTTTCTTTTACGAATTTACGAGCAAAACACTAATATGCTGTCTTATTGCACACATTTGGAGCGAGGCTGGAGGGTTGAGACAGGGTTGTGCAAGATGTGGCGAGGTCAACAATAAAACGTTCAAAAGGGTAAAGGCTAGTTGTACGATGGTCAAAATAGAACGCTGAATAACAGCAATGGCGTTCTCGCAGGATCTCGAGAGTACTATCACCAGGTTGGGCTTACTGTTCTGGTCGTATTTTGTCTCTCTAACACGACCTAGGCCTCGACAAATGTCTATAAAGCCGACCAAAAACATTGCTTCCAGAACAGAACTTCTCTCCTGTCAGACCACACGGACTACCATCAACAATAAAAGCTTTTACACATCATCAGAAAGATTCAGGGCGTTCTCTGGTAACCGCCAACTTTCTCCTCTTTGCCCATATACTTGTCTTCTTCCTGTCAAGACAACCCCACCAAAAATCACCATGCGCTTCCTCCATACCCTCATGCTCGCGGCCACCGCGGCCACCCAGGTCTACCCAGCCCTGGCAGTCGCCGCCGACGCCGACGCCGAGTACCGGGCCCTCCACGCCGCCCGCTCCGGGGCCCTTGTGCGCGCCCGCGACGCCATCCTCGAAGCCAGGCAGTACGGCGATCAGATGCTGGCTGCTACTGCTGCTGCTGCGAGGGACGCCGACGACAGCAACAGCAACAGCAACATCCAGGCGAGGGGCCAGAGCTCGAGCAAGGGCGGTAAGACGGGCGGCGGCGGCGGCGGCGGCAAGAAGCCCTCCACGAAGCCGAAGAAGAACGAAAACAAGCCGCGCCGGAGGTGCGTGACGTGCGGCGCCGACTGCGGGACCGAGTCGTGGCACAGGCACTACGACGATCAGGACCGGAGCGTCAGCTGGCTCTAGTACTGCGAGGATGTGAGTCTGATGTCCTAGCGTTCCGCTTGAGACGCCGTCATCGAGAGGTAGCTAGAAGGAGAGTGAGTAGGTATCGTTATCGGCATCTTTTGTTTCCCTCATTTTTGCATGTTAGTTTAGAATCTGTTCTTGGTTCCTTGTAAGTGAGGCAGGCGAGGAGTTTTTGGCTACTTGGAGCTTGACGTAGCTTGGAAAACGGCTGGAAGTATGGAGACACTCATTCTTACCGGTTCCAGGGACCAGAGTTCATCGTGCTTTGTGTTTTTTTCTTTGCATTTTTGGACTTGCACCAAGAGACATCCTCATGTACCCCTATTCTTGCTTTCATTGATCAGCGCATCAGAATTCCCCATTCCCGTCGTAGCAGGCAACGCCGAGCGTAGGGTGCGCGGGTATCTGCTGCGCACTTGTACCACGACCCAGCATCGGCTGTTGCGTCCGCGATGACTCCCTCGACCCCCCCAGGAAGGCCGACAGCCCGCGCGGATCCACCGTTGCTAGCGTGTCGCCGGCCGCGCGGCACGAGGACTCGTGCTGCAGGTCCTCGCCGTTGAGCGGGCGCAGGCTGTTGGAGACGCGCCGGTCCGGGAACCAGGTCGGCATCCCCCGGGGACGCGATGGCCATGCGGGCCGAGGAGAGGATGTCGAGGCTCCCGTGGGCCGCCAATGAACCGAACGAGGTCCAGGTAGACTTCCCGGACGCTCTTCTCGTAGTCCGGCACGAGACCCCCCTCCGCGACGTTAGAGGCCATGCCGAGTAGCGCGCACATACACCTTGTCCCGCGGGTCCGTGGCTTGGTAGTTCCGGGTGTAGTTGAGGAAGTGGCTGAGCGGCATAGCCTTGGGCGACCGAAAGCTGTCGAGCGCGGGTGAACTTGCGACACGGGCAGCGGCGCAGTAGCTCCGCTTTGGCGTGCGGCTGGGATCCCACCAGCTGTATGTCGCGGCAAAGGCTGGCGAGGAAGTGCCAGGGGAAGACGCGGTGACCGGCAAAGATGACCGGGTGCCGAGCGGCAACGGCCTCTTGTACGATCAAGGCCTGTGGGCCTTGACCCAGATCGTCACACTCGACTTCCAGGAGCAACAGGCAAGCTCTTGGGCGTCGTGGCTTGCAGTCAGGCAGTCAAAGCAAGGCATTGGTGGACACAGTTACTAGATACTCGAACTGGCGCAGTCTTGGTTCTTGTGTTCCCCGTTAGTTACCATCCTGGACCCTAAGGAATACAAGTTCCCGGCCCTCAAAGGCAAAGCCCGCCGCACTGCACTGCCTTGATCCCATGCCTTCATTCTGCTGGATTCTCAAACACCACCAGGCTCGGCCGGGATGCCGAGACATCGTAGTTTCTCTTGAACTGCTCCATGACCGTGGTCCTGTTTTCGGGGGTGACCTCGCCGAAAGCGTCGGGCTTGAACACCCATATGTCGACAACGTCGTGCAACTCGACGAGCAGCCGGTCATACGTCGCCTGGTTCATCAAGGAACCGTGCCTGCCCGGTTTATATTCGACAGCTGCAAAATTCTTCTCCACCCATCCGCACGTCCTATGCCATTCCTCCTCATCATGCTTAATGAAGTCGCCGAGGCCCCGGCTAGTCTCATCGCGATGGTGTTGGTAGTCGGTGGAGTCGCCGAAGGCGTAGTTGACCCTCCGCCAGTCGAGAGTGAGACACAGGTAAAAGTCAAAAGCCGCATCGGCCTGCCGCGTGATCCCAAACAGTGACTCAACGTCTCGCCGCTCCTCAGAGTGTTTTCGAGGGTCTTTGAAGAACTGTAAAGTCTTGAGGTCCTCTGCGACGGGCCGAGAGTCCTCGTGGAGCCAGTCGAAGAAGGTCACCGTTGGCAGGTGTCGTTGGAGCGGGTGGCCGCGTCCGTGGTGGCATGTGAAGCTACCCGGGCCTATGGCCCCGCCTAGGGGGGCCCGTATCCTGGAACCTCCGAGGAAGTCTAATACGTAAAATACCGATCGGAGCTTGTCCTTGAGGGTGTCTTTGAACGACGACGTAGCTAACGGGTGGAATGTGCAAGGGGAAACGCCCTCTTCTATCGAGGGGCTGTCCGTGTTAGGCCACAGGATGTTTTGGCTCAAAAGCTCCCAAAGGCAAGGAGAATACCCTCTAGCGGTACGGTCGTCGGGGGCTAGGTGCACTACGCCTACATCCCTAACATCGTAGGCTTTGATGTCGTGAAGAACATCAGCTAGCAGACGAGGAAATTTGGCCCAGCGTAGAAAGATCACATCCCACTCGGGGTTGAGATATAGGGGCCTGCCCTGCGCCTGCGGGAGGCGGTGGTGGACAGGGAGCCGGAGTCGATAAAAGTCAAGCGCGACCTTTCTTGCCTCCTTGCTGACTCGGAGCAACGGGCTCAGGGCTGAGCCGTCGTCGTGGACGGCAAAGTAATAGTCATTTCCGCTGATGACCCTGCCCAGGCTGTTCGTGGTGGTGTAGCTGGGAGGGCGCTCTTTGTTCTGGTGGCTTGGGCCGCTGGCTGCTCCCACCTGGCCGGGCCATTTCGCGCGGGACTCTTCGTCCTCTGGAAGGACGATGTCGAGGGGGACCCAGCGGGACCGTCGGAGCGTATGTAACCAGATGATCAAGCGCAGCTCGACGGGCAAGCGCTGGAAAAAACGGAATGCGGTGTCGCTGGGCGTCGACCGGAAGTGGGTGTCGTTGAGCAGCTGCATTGCGTAGTGGGGTTTTGCAAGTGGAGGAAAGACTTGGTGTACGGAGGTGTGTCAACCTTTAGAAGGATGGACGGCGGGGGCGGCCCATTTTCAGCCCAAATGGCCAGGCACATACCTACAGCCAGGGGACAAAAATGACGACCAACTCCAAAAATTTGCATTTTTCTTCGACAACGCGCCCAATTTAAACCACAACAACGCATTTAATTTTGCTTTATTTGCTTTGCTTTTTGCATATGTTGTAAAGCGTATTTTAATTAATAAAAATGTATTATTTTAATATTTCGTGTATTACCCGTTTGCATTAATAACGGCTTGGAATTGCCGGTTTATAAAAATTACCAAATTTTTTATAAATTTTTTTTTATTTTTTTTACGCTTTAACGGTAGCCCGGATAAATAATTTACAAAATTTATTGCTTTTTAAAAATTGCTTTAATTTAAAATAACGTTTATTTATAACGGTTTTAACGATAATTTAAAAATTTTTAATGGAATTTATATTTGGTAAATTTGCCGGTTAATTTATTAATTTAACCCCGTATAATTTTATTTAAATTTGCAACCATTTTTAAATTTTAATTATTTGGTGCGTAAAAGCGTTATTTTATATAAATACCGTTCCCGGAAAGCATATTATAAATAGGTTTTTTTGCAAATATTTAAATATAATTCGGTTTAATACCCTTTTTTTTGGATAAAAGATTGCCGTATATTGCATGCAAAGTATTGCAAATATGCTATTTAAAAACGGTTTAAAACATTTGCTTATATTTAATAAGCTTGTTTTTTGGCTAAACATGTTTAAAATCCAATTTTTCGTTTTATTAATTAAAATTGCGCGAATTAAATAAATTTAAAAATGGTGCATTTGGTTAAAAGTTAATTTGCTTTTTTGCATTATACGTGCTTTATGCAATTCCCGTTTGTTAAAAGCACGGGCGAAACCGCCCGGCAAAAAGCGGGGAGCGTTAAATGCACGGGCGAAACCGCCCGGCAAAAAGGAGGAAGGGGGCATTGGCATAATTGGCCGGTGTTAAAAGCACGGGCGAAACCGCCCGGCAAAAAGCGGGGAGCGTTAAATGCACGGGCGAAACCGCCCGGCAAAAAAGAAAAAGGGGGCATTGGCACAATTGGCCGGGCACGGACTTTTTTGGTAACGTGCTGGCAAAGTGCCGGTATTGCGGCTAAAGCATAATGGTAAAGTTAAAAAATAAAGTAAAGCTTAAATTGTACGAAAGCGCATAAAGCGCGGAAAATTTATAAAACCAACCCCGCGTGCCCAAAAGGGCACGAAAAAAAAAGGTAAAAAAGGAATAATTTTTGTTGGAAATAGCATTTTTGGTAAAGAATTTACGGAAATTTAATAAAAAAATACCGTATTTAGCCCGTAATTTAGTAATTACCCGCTTTTATACCGATTAACCTTTAACATATTATTTTTTTTTATACCTTTTTTATTTAGGAAGCAAGCTTAAGTAATTACCGGAAAGGATTAAGCAAGTTTAAAAAAGGCATTTGCAATTTCGCACCGTTTATAATAACGCTTAACGCTACGTTAAGCACGTTAAAAAGGGCCGTTAAGCTACCGGAACAAAATACCAAAAAAGCTTTACAAATTTTTAACGATTTCGAAAACCTTTTTGTAAAGGAATTGCAAAAAATAAACGATGCGTTGGAAGTTTAAAGCAAACGCGCCCGTTTAATTTAAAAAATTTAAAACAAAAGGTTAAAGCATGCGCATAAAAGCTTAAACGAAAATAAAAAAAATACTTTTAAATAACGAAAAGGTTTTACGTAAAATAAAATTACTTTTAAATTATTTATGCTTAAAAAATTTGCAATATAGTAAAATATCGTTTATTATATTAATAATTACGAATTTATTTTCGAAAGCGAAAAAAAACGCTACTGTAAAAACCGTATAAAAGTTTAAATAATTTCCAGCACTTTTAATTATTAACGGCGGGTATAATAAACAAAATATAAGCAAATGCATTATTTAAATACCGGGGTATTGCTTATTTAAATTAATTTTTTGCGGTAATTTTAAGCAAAATCGAAAAATTTCGATTTGCAAATATAGCTAACAATTAAAAAGCTTGCGGGAAATACCGTTATTAAGCAAAAAAATTACAAATTATTTAAAGCGTTTTAAATTTGTTAAAATTTGGTAAAGGATAACCTTTTCGAATTAGCATTTAAATGGATAAGGATAACATTGCTTTTTAACCGGTTTCGCTTTAAAATCCAAAAACGGGTAACATTTAAAAGCTTTTTTTACATTATGGAAAAATTGCAAGCTAAAGCTTTTAAAGCAAAAATAATATTGGGACCGTACAAAAAGATGCCGGGAAATACCGGTACTTTAACCGTTAAAAAGCCGGTTATTTGCTTTAAGTACGGGCAATTGGGTTATATCGTTATAGCATGCAAAATACGAACGGATAACCCGGAAACCCCGTTAACCTTAACAACCATACAAAAAGCAAAGGGGAAAAGGCCGGAAATACGGTATTACGGGTATAAAAAGCTAAGCTATATCCGGCCGGCGTGCTTTAAAAAAAGCAAAATATTATTACCCAATTCGATACCGCTATTTGGCCGTTTAAGCACCGGGGTTTAAAAATGCGCCCCGGCGGCCAAAACGCGTTAAAAAACCGAAATGTATTTACGGATTAACGGTTGCCGGGTAAAGTTAAAAGCGTTAATTAATAATAAAAGCAACGTTAATTTATTGCATAACCGTTTTTTAGTGGAAGCAAAAAAAATACCGGTGCTAAACGGGGGTTATTTGGCGTGGTTCGATACCAAAAAACGCATGCTTACGTTAAAAGTAAGGAAATATAAAATTCGGGTAACAAATAATTAAAAAATAACCCGAAAATTAATGGTATTTTACGTGGTAATGCTTTGGGCCGGGTATAACATTACGTTAAACATGCTTTAATTTTAGCAAAAAACATTAAAATCCGGGTTAAAAATATAAAATAGAAATTTCCGGTAATTACCAAAAGGTTAAAATAATTTTGTTAAAAATAATTAAAAAGCTGGTTTAATCGGAACAAACGATAGCCGTATTAACGGTTGTACGCCCGGAAACCCCGGAAAACCCTGGGAAAAGGTTAAAAGCTTTTCCGAAATAAGTTAAAAGGATAATTGCAAAACATGCGCAGCTTTATAAATTAAACCTTTCGCTAAAATATATAAGTTAAAATTACGCAATTAAATTGGAAAAAAACGATGCCGCTTTACGAAAGCATTTATTTTTATTCGAAAAAAAATTAAAAATTTTCCGGGGATATTTCGATAAAGCTATAGCAAAGGGTTGGATTTGGCATTTAACCAACCCCGTTAGCGCCGGGATTTTATTCGTTTTAAAAAAAAACGGGAAATTTCGCTTTTGTATCGATTATTAAGGTTTTAACAAAGTTATTAAAAAAACCGGCTAACATTTTTATTAATTTACGAAATATTCGACCGGGTATTTGGAAATTAATACTTTATTAAATTGTATTTAAAAAACGCTTATTACAAAATACGGATCCGATAAAAAAACGAATAAAAAATTGCTTTTTGCTGCAAATATAAATATTATAAATATTTAGTAATGCCATTCGGCTTGGTTAACGCACCGGCAACGTTTTAAAGCTTTATTAATATAGCATTTGGGAAATTAATTAATAGCATTTGCATTATATATTTAAACAATATCCTTATTTTTTCCAAAATACGGGAAAAGCACCGTAAAGCAATAAAAACGGTGCTAAAGCGATTTAAAAAATATAAGCTTTACGTTAACCCGGCTAAATGCAAATTCGAAACGAATAGCATCGATTTTTTAGGTTTTAAAATAATTAAATTTAAAATTAAAATTTTGCCGAACAAGGTTATTACAATCCAAAAATGAAAAATACCGGAAAACATTAAAAACGTACAAATATTTTTAAGCTTTACGGGGTATTACCGGAAATTTGTAAAGGGTTACGCGAAAATTACTACGCTTTTAACAAACTTTTTTAAAAAGGATACGGCGTTTTATTTAAAAAGCATTGCGAAAAAGGCTTTTTTGCAAGCTAAAATTGTTATTTATATAAGCTTTGGTGCTAATACATTTTAATTTATCGAAACCGCTATGCGTAAAAACCAATGCTTCGGCTTTTGCAATAAAAGCAATATTGCTGTAATTGCAAAACGGTTGTTAGCACCCGGTAACTTATTTGTTAAAAAAGCTACGGTAAAGGGAATTGCATTACGCAATTCCCGATTCGAAATTATTGGCAATCGTAAAAGCTTTTGAAAAGTAGCGGCATTATTTAGCTTATTTACAAAAAATTATTAAAATAATTACCAACCATTTAAACCATATCCATATTTTAACAAAAAAAAAAGTAATAAAGCGTTAAACAAAATGATTCGAAAATTTAGCAAATATAACTTTACAATTAAATGGAAGCCAAAATACCGGAACCCCGTAAATAACTTGTTAAAACGTTTTTTAAACATACCCGTAAACGGGAAAACCAATATAACAAAAAAAAAATTCCGAAATAATTTATTAGCCAAATTTCGAAAAGCAATTTACGTAAGGACAACCATTATTAAAAAGGATACCAAAACGATATTAAAGCGCATTTTCGAAATATAAGCAAAAAACGATTTCGTTTAAAGCGGTATTTGGAAAATTAAACTTAACGTTTAAAAAATTAACAACGGTGTTAAGGGTTAATCGGTGCAAAGGCGGGTGGTTACCGGGTTACGGGCCGGATGCGGTGTTTTTTTTGTTAAGCTTCCGTAAATCTTTTACTAAAGGTGCTATCGCTAATAAAAATTGTTCCTTTTCTAACTTTCCCCTCCTTCGTACCCTTTCGGGCACCCGGGGTTGGTTTTTTAAATCCTTTGCGCTCCAAACGCTTTCGTGCAATTTAAGCTTTACCCTATTTTTTAATTTTGCCATTATGCTTTGGCCGCAATACCGGCACTTCGCCGGTACGTTACCAAAAGGGTCCGTACCCGGCCAATTGTGCCAATGCCCCTTTTTTCCTTTTTGCCGGGCGGTTTCGCCCGTGCATTTAACGCTTCCCGCTTTTTACCGGGCGGTTTTGCCCGTATTTTTAACATATTGCCTTTTCCCGATACGGCTTGTCCTAAGCCGTTTGTGCCGCGCGTGCAACCCCATAAGTAGCTGGTAGCTTACGATATTCCGCCAAACCGCCCTAATGCCCGGCAACGTTTAAAAAAACCAATTATAAAGCTTTGTAGCATTCGGAAAAATGGGTTCGTACCGGTATATAAAAAGCTTTTTTTCCCGTTTAAAGTTACAAGCCCTTTTTTTTTTTTTATGCATTTAACAACCATTCCAACAATTTTAACGATTGTAACCGTAAATAATTAATATTTAGCTGTTTTTTTTAAATATTTGGATTTAACCGGTAATTATAAATGTTATCCTTTATACCTAATTACGTAAAAAAAGTGGTATTTTTTCGGGTATCCGCTTTGGGTTTTTCGATTCCAACCAGCCCGTTAACCTTTTTTAACGACCTTCCGGTATCTTTTTTAGCTATTATGGTTTAATTAAACCCGAATTCGGATTTGCTAAAGCTTTTAATCCTTTAAATCCCTAACAATTGCTTTACCGGTAACTTTCCGGTAAACCTTTTAAATGCCGCGGGTTTATCGGGCCCTTTTACGCTTGCAATCCTTTAAAATTTCCGCAAGCGTTTTGCCGGTAACCCCCCGGCGGGTTTTAACCGCCGCGGCAAAAAAACTTCCGCCAAAAAAAAGCGTAAAGCGCGCAACGAACGCCGCCGCAACGCTTTTAATTTTAATAAATTTGTTTTTAAAACGAACATTGCTTTTTTTTTGTTTTACATAAATATCCGCAACGCGTTCCCGTTGCAAAAAATTATCGATTTTTAATAAAGCAATAATTAAAACTTTATTTATTTGCCCTTTTTTAAAAACAATTATACGGAGCGTACGGTATTTTGTGGCCGTTATTTTGGTTGTTAAGTATATTAAAACTATGCCGTTAACCCCCGTATACCGATATGCTTCGATAATTGTACGGGGTTTTCCAAATGCATTTATTGCAAAAACGTGGTTAATAATAAAGCTTGCGTTAAGCTTTTCAAATGGTTTTGGAAAATGGCCCAAAACCTTTACAAAATTTTAAATACCGTTTACCAGCGATTTTTTAAAACAATACCGAAGCTTTTTAAAAAGCTTATTAAAGCCCAATTTCGCGTTCGTAAGGCTATCCAAAAAGTTAAATCCTTTTATACCATATTGGCCAAACAATTTGCGCGTTACAAACGTTAAACCGTTATTTAAAAGCGTATTTAGCGCAAAATTGCTAGCATTGCAATATTAAAAATTACTTAAAACATTTTTTAATAATTTTACGTTATTACCGTTTAAACGAAAAGGCAAATTTAAGCTTTAACTAGCATTAATAATTTTTTTAACAAAATAAAAGCGTTTTTTAAGCGTTTCGAAAAAAGTATGGTTGTTTTTTTTGGTAGCATTGCTGCTAACTTTGTTACAATTGCGGCGCATTTGGATACCCAAGCTTACAGCCGCGCGGTTCCCCGTAAAGGTGCGGCGTTTGTATTAGCGCCGGAAAGTGCCGCTTTTAGCGCTAACGATTTTGGCGGCAACGATTATAGCGTTAGCGAAAGGAACGTGGTTTCCAAAGGTTTTGGTTCCTTTAAATACAACATTTAATTAATTTTTTTTACATATTTTCCTAATTAATTACTGGTATTCCCTTTTTAAAAAGTGGTTAATTTTAAAAATTTTTCGTTAATTTATTATAATTAAAATTATAATTTCCTTTCGTTATATTACTTTTGCAATATTGCAAAATTCCAATATTTTTAATTACCAATTAGGTTTTAATGCTTTAATAAATAATTTTAAAATGCTTTTTTTTCGCTTTTTAATGGGTTTAAATATTGCCGATATGCATTTGCCGTTACCCAAACGCTTAGGCCCGTTTGCCGTACCATCCGGAAATTTTTCCATTTTTTTTTAAGCAAGCAATGGTATTTTTTACTATAACGTACGTTTAAAATGCGGTAATTGCTTTGGCGTATTGCGCCAAGCATACCTTTTACGGGCTTTCCAAAATATATTACACTTTGCATATTTTTTAAAATTTAAATATATTGCACTATTAATTTGGGGCATTTCCCGTATTATACCGTTTTTACCTAACTTTTTGTTTATAAAGTACGATATTTTACGGTTATTACAAGCCGCTTACGGGTTTTTTTACGTTCTTTTCCGGTAGCCAACCGGTTTGGCACGTTTAAAACATTTTTTTGGGCCATTTTTTTGGCCTTTATTACTTTTTTTTGTAATACCCCCGTTCCTTTCGGGTATTTACCCGCTAAGGTTTGGTATTTTCCTTATTTTGTAAGTTTGCTTCCAATAGGTTTGCTTTATACGTTTAAACAATTTTTTTCGTAATATCCCTTTTTAAAATTTACGAATTTTCCGATTTATCGTAACTTATCCATTTAACCAAATATTTTCGTTTCCGCAAAAGCCCTTTATATTTTAACAAAGTTTTTACTTTAAAACGATTCCTTTTTTTTTTTAATTTTTGGTTTTTTATTTTTTGGTTTTTTGCCGGGCTTTTTTTTTAAACGCCCGCAACAAATTTGCCGGAAATACGTTATGTATTCGGTAATTTACCAAAAGCTTTAACCGGAACGCCAAACCGATTAACCCAACCATTTTTAAAATTTAAAAAGGTCCCAACCATTTATTCGATAGCTTTTTTAACGGCTTTTTTATTTTAATGTTTGCCGTACTTAGCAATACCCAATTGCTTACCCCAAAAGGTACCGGGGTTTTGCTTTTGTTATAATACTTTTTGTACGTATTATTCGCTTTTTTTAGCAATTTTTTAATTTATTTCTTAATTGTTTTTAAAGCCCCCGCTTTAATTTTAGCCGTTGCTAAAGGTTTTTTTTTAACCATCCAAAGGTTATAAAGCTTTTATAAATAAAATTTTATTAATAAAAACGCTGGGGTTTTTTGCAACCCCAAATGCACGTTTATATTGTGCACCCACGTTGCTAAATGCAATAGCAACGCCCAATCGTTTTGCCTTTTGCAGCAAAAGCACCGAAAGTAATGCTTTACTATTTGGTTCGTTCGTTCCGTTTGCCCGTTAATTTAAAAATGGTATGTTATTAATAGCCTTTTTGCAACTTTTAAATATTTGGCAAAAATTGTTTAAAACCCGTTTGTAAATAATTTATTCCGGTTCGATATAATTTTTTTGGGCGTTTTTAATAACTTTTAAACGTATGCAAATAAAAAATTCCTTAATTTTTTATTGGTTAATTTCGTAAACGTTAGGATAAAAAAGCTATATTTGGTAAACCGGTTAACCATTACCAATATTGCATTGCATTTTTTGCCGGTTTTATTTACCAATATTAAAAATTTTTCGATAAAATCCATCGATAGCTTTTGTTTTGGGCGGTTTAATACGGGCAAAAGTGCTAATAACCCGTAAAATGTTTGTATTTTCGGTTTTATTTGCTGGTATATTTAATACGTTCGCACGTATTTGCGTACGTTTTTAGCCATACCCGGTTATTTAAATTGCCGTTTAAGCTTTTTTAAAGTTTTGGCCATGCTTTTGTAACCTTTCGTTGGGTTATTATATTGTTTTTAAAGCATTATTTGCTTAAGCAATGCTAAATTTGGAATTTAAATTTTTTTTTATATTTAAGCAAACCGTTGCTAATTTTCCAAACGTTGGGCTTGTTTTTCCAAATGCCGTTTTAAATAAAATTGTTTTTTGTTTGTACTTTAAAAATGCGCTTTAATATTATTTTAATGTTTTTTTAGTAATAATTGTCCTTACGTAAGTTGCTTTTCGGAATTTAGCTAGCAAATCGCTTCGGAATTTTTTTTTTGCCATATTGGCTTCCCCGTTTACGGGTATATTTTAAAAACGTTTTAACAAACCATTCGCAAAATTCCGGTATTTTGGCTTCCATTTAATTGTAAAATCGTATTTTGCTAAATTTTTAAATTACTTTGCTTAATACTTTGTTACCTTTTTTTTTGTTAAAATATGGGTATGGTTTAAATGGTTAGTAATTATTTTAATAATTTTTTGTAAATAAGCTAAATAATGCCGTTACTTTTTAAAAGCTTTTACGATTGTTAGCAATTTTAAATTAAAAATTGCATAGCGTAACTTTTTTTATTGCAACTTTTTTAATATATAAGCTACCGGGTGCTACCGGCCGTTTTGCAATTGCAATAATACCGCTTTTATTGCAAAAGCCAAAGCGTTAATTCGTACGCACAACGGCTTTAAAAGGTTAAAATGCATTAATACCGAAGCTTTCGTAAACAATAGCTTTAATTTGCAAAAAGCCTTTTTCGCAATATTCCTTAAGTAAAATACGGTATCCTTGCTAAAAAGGTTCGTTAAAAACATAGTAATTTTCGCGTAACCCTTTACAAATTTCCAATAATACCTTATAAAATCCAAAAATACCTGGATGTTTTTAACGTTTTCCGGTATTTTCCATTTTAAAATTGCAATAATTTTATTCGGCAAAATTTCGACCCCGAATTTGGTTATTTTAAACCCCAAAAAGTTAATACTATCCGTTTCGAATTTGCATTTAGCCGGGTTAACGTAAAGTTTAAACCGTTCGAATCGTTCCAGTACCGTTTTTATTGCTTTGCGGTACTTTTTTTGTATTTTCGAAAAAATAAAGATATTATTTAAATACATAATGCAATTGCTATTAATTAATTTTTTAAGCGTTATATTAATAAAGCTTTAAAATGTTGCTAAAGCGTTAGCCAAACCGAAAGGCATTATTAAGTATTCGTAATGTTTATATTTGCAACGAAAAGCAATTTTCCATTCGTTTTTTTATTGGATTCGTATTTTGTAATAAGCGTTTTTTAAATTTAATTTGGTAAAGTACTGGTTTTTAAATACCCGGTTAAATATTTTATAAATTAACGGAAATGTTAGCCGGTTTTTCCTAATAACTTTATTAAAACCCCGATAATCGATACAAAAACGGAATTTCCCGTCTTTTTTTAAAACGAACAAAATTCCGGCGCCGGCGGGGCTAATTAAATGCTGGATTTAACCTTTTGCTATGGCTTCGTTAAGGTACTTTTAAAAAGTTTTTAATTCCTTTTTAAATAAAGGATAAATGCTTTCGTAAAGCGGTATCGTTCTTTTTTCCAATTCGATTGCGTAATTCCAGCTTATATATTTTAGCAAAAGGTTTAATTTATAAAGCTGCGCATGTTTTGCAATTATCCTTTTAACCCATTCCGGAAAAGCTTTTAGCTTTTCCCCGGGGTTTTCCGGGGTTTTCGGGCGTACAACCGTTAGTACGGTTATTGCTTGTTCCGATTGGATTAATTTTTTGGCTATTTTTAATAAAATTATTTTAACCTTTTTGGTAATTACCGGGAATTTCCATTTTATATCCCCAAATTAAATTTTAATATTTTTTTGCTAAAGTTAAAGCATGCTTAATGTAATGTTGTACCCGGCCCGGGGCATTATTACGTAAAATATTATTAATTTTTGGGTTATTTTTTAGCTATTCGTTACCCAAATTTTGTATTCCTTTACTTTTAGCGTGGGCATGCGTTTTTTGGTATTAAATTACGCTAAGTAGCCCCCGTTTGGCACCGGTATCTTTTTTGCTTTTATTAAAAAACGGCTATGCAATAAATTAACGTTGCTCCCGTTATTAACCAACGCTTTTAACTTTACCCGGTAACCGTTAATTCGTAAATACATTTTGGTTTTCCAGCGCGTTTTGGCCGTTAGGGCGCATTTTTAAGCCCCGGTGCTTAAATGGCCAAATAGCGGTATCGAATTGGGTAGCGATATTTTGCTTTTTTTGGGGCACGCCGGCTGGATATGGCCCAGCTTTTTATACCCGTAATACCGTACTTTAAGCCTTTTCCCCTTTGCCCTTTGTGTGGTTGCTGGGGCCAACGGGGTTTTTGGGTTGTTCGTTCGTATTTTGCATGCTGCAACGATATAATTTAACTGCCCGTACTTAAAGCAAGTAACCGGTTTTTTAAAGGTTAGGATATTTATGTTTCCCGGGGTTCCTTTGTACGGTCCCGATATTATTTTTGCTTTAAGGGCTTTGGTTTGCAATTTTTCCATAATATAAAGAAAGTTTTTAAATATTACCCGTTTTTGGATTTTAAAGCAAAGCTAATTAAAAAATAATGTTATTTTTATTTATTCGGGTGCTAATTCGGAAAGGTTATCCTTTACCAAATCCTAGCAAATTTGGAACGTTTTAAACAATTTGTAATTTTTTTATTTAATAGCGGTATTTTTTGCAAGCTTTTTAATTGCTAGCTACATTTGCAAATTGGGGTTTTTCGACTTTGTTTAAAGCTACCGCGAAAAATCGGCCCAAATAAGCAATACCCCGGTATTTGGATGGTATATTTGCTTATATTTTATCCATTATGCTTGTTGTTAATAATCGAAAGTGCTAAAAGCTATTTAAACTTTTACACGGTTTTTATCGTAACGTTCCTTTTCGCTTTCGAAAATAAATTTGTAATTATTAATGTAATGGGCGATATTTTGCTAAATTGCCGATTTTTTAAGCATAAAAAGTTTAAAAGTAACTTTGCTTTACGTAAAGCCTTTCCGTTATTTAAAGGTATTTCTTTTATTTTTGTTTAAACCTTTATGCGCATGCTTTAACCCTTTGTTTTGGATTTTTTGGATTAAACGGGCGCGTTTGCTTTGGGCTTCCAGCGCGTTATTTATTTTTTGCAGCTTTTCCACAAAAAAGTTTTCGGAATTGTTGGAAATTTGCAAAATTTTTTTGGTATTTTGTTCCGGTGGTTTAACGGCCTTTTCCAACGTGCTTAACGTAGCGTTAAGCGTTATTATAAGCGGTGCGAAATTGCAAATGCCCTTTTTAAATTTGCTCGATCCTTTTCGGTAATTACCCAGGCTTGCTTCCCAAATAAAAAAGGTAAAAAAAAAAACAATATGTTAAGGGTTAATTGGTGCAAAAGCGGGTAATTACCGGGTTACGGGCCGGATGCGGTATTTCCTTTGTTAAACTTCCGTAAATTTCTTACCAAAAGTGTTATCGTTAACAAAAATTGTTTTTTTTTAATTTCCCTTTTTTTCGTACCCTTTCGGGCACCCGGGGTTAGTCCTTTAAATTTTTCGCGTTCCAAGCGCTTTCGTGCAATTTAAGCTTTATTTTATTTTTTAATTTCGCTATTATGCTTTGGCCGCGATACCGGCATTTTGCCGGCACGTTACCAAAAGGGTCCGTGCCCGGCCAATTGTGCTAATGCCCCCTTTTTCCTTTTTGCCGGGCGGTTTCGCCCGTGCATTTAACGCTTCCCGCTTTTTACCGGGCGGTTTCGCCCGTGCTCCTAACAAACGGTTTGTTTAAGCATAAAAAAAAGTTTAAATTTTAAATTTAGCGCCGTTGCAACGGATAATGCTTTAAAAATAATATAATAGCCCAACGGAAAATTACAAAAGCATAACCAAAATTTTAAAAAAGTTTAAATAGCAATTTAAATGGCCGGGTATAGCTAAAAACGTATGCAAATACGTGCAAACGTGTTAAATATGCTAGCAAATAAAGCTAAAAATATAAACATTTTACGGGTTATTAGCATTTTTGCCCGTACCAAACCGCCCAAAACAAAAGTTATTAATAAATTTTATCGAAAAGCTTTTAACGTTAATAAATAAAACCGGCAAAAAGCGCAACGCAATATTGGTAATGGTTAACCGGTTTACCAAATATAGCTTTTTTATTCCAACATTTACGAAATTAATTAATAAAAAATTAAAAAACTTTTTGTTTGCATACGTTTAAAAGCTATTAAAACCGTTTAAAAAATTATATCGAACCGGGATAAATTATTTATAAGCGGGTTTTAAACAACCTTTGCTAAATATTTAAATGTTGCAAAAAAGCTATAAATAGCATACCATTTTTAAACCAACGGGCAAACGGAACGGACAAACCAAACAATAAAGCATTATTTCCGGTGCTTTTGTTACGAAAAGCAAAACGATTAAGCGTTGTTATTGCATTTAGCAACGTAAATGCATAATATAAACGTGCATTTAGGGTTGCAAAAAACCCCGGCGTTTTTGTTAATAAAGTTTTATTTACAAAAGCTTTATATATATATAAATTTATTTACCTTTTTCGAGCTATATAGCCTATAAGGAGCATTACGGATTGGGGTAACTATTTAAAAGTAAAAACCGTGCTTCCAGCCAATAACTATTTGGTATAAAGTTAGGTAAAAACTTTTTCCTTTCGAAGTATTTTTTATTCCGCGTCGTTTTTGTAAGTAATTGTTTGTAAAGTATTTTTTGCATTTTTAAACGTTCGGTAAAAAAAAAAGTTATTGTTGTTCGAAGCGAAATATCGTGGTTTGGTTGGAAATTGGTTTGTTCGTTGCATTTAGGTCGCGTTATTAAATGCATGTTTTCGTGCCAATTTAAAGCTTTCCCGTTGCTTTTTCCTTTTTTATTAATTTTAGCAAATAAGTTAATATATTGCGGCTTTTTTCGACTTTTTTTTTTTTAATCCCTTACGCAATTTTACCAAAAAATATTACCAGTAATTGCAAAATAGCAATAACAATAACCGTTATAAGTTTTTTTTCCTTAGCTTTCGTTATTTTGCAGCCTATTTAACGTTTAATTATAAAACCGTATATTCCTAACGCTTTGCTAATATTTCGCTTTGGCTTTCCACGATTTGCAATTGCACTATAACGCTTAAAAAAAAAGTAATACGAAAAGGCTTACTTTATTACCTTTCGAAATAACGGGTAATTTCAAAAAGCGCAAAGCCCGTCGTTTGTATGTAATTTTTTTTACATTTTTGCAATTTTTTGCTAACCCATTTTAATATTTTTAGCGGTTTAACCAATTGCATTACGTATATGCGTATAATAACCCGCAAAATTAATTTTAACAAAGCTTGCATGCAAAATTTTAATAAATCTTTTTCGTAAGCGAAAAAAAAAATACGACGTTTTTTGTTTGCGCGCGACGACAACAACGACATACAGAAAAACTAAAGCCATTACAAAAACCGGAAACGCTAATTTGCCTAAAGGCTAAGCAAATTCGATAATACCCCAAAGCGCCGTTGCGGCGTTAATGGAAAAAGCCATTGGCCTTAACCAATCGAAGCACGCGATACGCGACGGGAATTACCCGAACCAGCAACAATTACGATAAAAACCAATTGCAAGCCCGAAAAAAACCTAATTAATTATTATAACGATGCAATTTGCAAAAAAGTACATCCAATCGCTTAATAAAAAAAAAAAAATTACGGCCGCCGAAATTATTGCGAAATTTGTTCGATACGTTAAAGCAACCAACCAAACGACCGTAATTTTAACAACCCTAACGATTAACCCTAACGCAACCCAAACGATTTTTTAATTTTTCGAACGAATTAAAACCATATTAAAAAAAAAGGACCAAACGCAATAAATTGCGGCCGCGAACGGAAAAAGTAAAAAATAAACCTAGGCTTAAATAACCGCAAAAGCGCAAACCGTTTTTAAAGCACCCCAAGCAATAAAAGCCAAAAAAGCAATAGCATTTACGATCGATAATAAAATCCTTATTATTACCAAAAATAAAAAATTAAAAAATAAAACCCGAAAAAATTAAGCAAATTTACGATAAAGAATTGGGTAAAGGCTAGGTTAAAGCGGTTTATTAACATTTATTAAAAAACGTTCGTTTGCATTTCCGAAATGCTAGCATTTGTTAACGAACGGAAAAAAAATGCCGGCCCGGGCCGGGAACGAACGATATAAACGAAAGCATAGAAAGGGTTACAAACAATTACGGCAACCCCGCCGCAACGAACCGGTTACGGACGTGGTACGTGCCTTTTACGGCTTAGGACATAACCGGACAAACGGACGGTTTAAAAGTTATTAAACCAACGATAGCTTTAATAATAACGGGCTTACCAACCAGCAAATTCCGACCTTTTTTTAACGATAAAAGTAAGGCAAAACATTGGTTAAAATTAATAAAAGCATTTAGCGCCGAAAACCCGTATGGAAATATCGAACGGGTTACCGTTTCGTTATAAAAAAAAAAAATAACAAAAAAAAAGTAACGGCGTTATTCCAAATTGCGAACTTAAAAAGCGCAATAAATTTGCAAAAGGATTATTTTTAATAGGATAAGTTAGCATACCAATGCTAACCTTTTAACCCTAAATTAATTACGGCGCAATGCTACCGCTATTTAAATTAAAAATATAAAAGCATGCAATGCAAGCAAATTACGGCGTGTACGTAATATGGATTAAAAAAATACAACGATAAGCGATATAAAAAAAAAAGGAAATAACAAAAAAATCGCCGAAAAATATGTCCGGGGCATTTTGTATCCCGTACAATAAAATTAAATACCCATTTTATTTTTTATATTGCCCGATACGAAAGCAAATCCAATAATGCAAAAAAAAAGTTTGGCTTATAAAATTTACTTATTACAAAATCCCGATAATTTCCATTTCGAAATCGTTGCAAACCGGATCGCCGCCGGAAGCGGGGCAAGCAAAATCCCCCCCTTTACCCCGGGAAAAAGTAGCCTTTATACGGGAGCAAAAAGGAACCGATTAAGCAAAAAAAAGCAATAGCCCTTTTGCAACGATTTCCTTTTAAATACCAATAGCAATTTAAAATACAACTTTGCTAACCGAAAAAACCCTTACACGCAACGAAATTAACGCAAGGTTAAGGTTACCTTTTTTTCGACCAACCTTATTTATAAAACGGAAAAAAAATTTCTTAAAATCGGCCAAACGATTTATGGGAAGGCTTAAAAAATTTTATACGGCAAAACGAAGGAATGCAATTATTACGTTATTTGTAAAAAACCAGGGCTTACGCATTCCAAAGCCTTTTCCCCCCCGCACCCCCCCCCGCGAACCCCCCCGACGAAACCCATTTCCCCGGCGATACCCGCGTCCCCCTTACCGTTACGGGAAGTAATAGGAAAAGCCAGCCAAAAAAACCTTACCCTTTTTTAATTATTTAGTAACATACAATTTTTTAGCACCCAATTATATAAAAAGGAAGCGTCGACGTTACCGC